TGTATTGTTAAAATCTTATTGTATTCAAGTGTAAGTGGATGCATGCAAATGCTTAAAGTAAATATAGCGATATACCAGCGATCCATCTTCTGGCCAATTAAAGAGCCCAGGGCTGCAGGAACAGTAATATTACCGTGAATAATAATACATACAGATCTTTTGTTTTGCTCCACCTTCGCTTAAATATCTCTCCCGTATTGCGAATCTATCGTAATCATATCCTTTCCACATAATGCCATAGAAAACATTAAGGTGAGTGATTTAAAACCGCATCGTCATAACTGCCCACACACTGCATTTTTCGTATTGCTGTCAGGGATCCTTCCAGAACTGTCGCGATAGTACAGCGATATCGGACACTGCCCAACGAGCAGTGTAACGATTGCTTACAGGCCATCGGGCGACTTCCCGCCCCTGCAATCATATTCTGATGCCTCTTTATAAGCACGCCCAGCAGTCACCGTAATTAGTTTTATCACCTCCATTAGGCTGTGAAATGCCTCAGAAAAAAAAAAAGGACAACAGAAATGTCTGTTATCTTTATAGTCCAACTGGCACACGGGTCACCTCGATCATGTGTATGTTGTTTGGGAGGAATACCAGTCTATTTATAACAGACGCTTCAATAGGCCGAATTATTCGATGAATAACAATGCGACTCTGAAGGCTTCGCCCGAGGCCTAGATTCTGCCACACGGACCGTACTCCAGTAGCATGGAACATTTGCTAGCCTGGTTATTTATGGTTGGCTTCTGTGCCGCCCTCATAAATTCACATACATAAATCACCAACACAATGCGTTTCCTGACACAAAAGTAGGGGGAACCCTTAAGATAAACAAGCAGCTGGCTGTGCTCTTTAGAGATAGGGCACCGCAGCTCAAGTGTGACGCTGCCGCTTGCACGTCTCACCGAAACTCGCGGCAAGGGATACGGATGAAGAACCGAGGGACCAATGTGGAGACTGACTCCATTTACGCAAGAAAGGGAACAAACTGTAAATCGTGACTCTGTTTCATCTCCGTAATCGATTTCATTATAGACTCCGCTTCTCTGTATTAGCATCAGGGTACCGTTCCAATAGCTCCGAGGAGCAATGCCTTTATCACATTTTAAATGGGAAAATAACTAAGATTAGAAAAAGAATTCTTAGTACTTGATAAGTTAATAATAGCTATGAGCCCTTGATGTATTAAAGAAGTATGGGAATTTTTCACTCTTGAGGGACGGCACAGTGTTGCAGTGGTTTGCACTGTCACCTGGGACCTGGGTTTGAGTCTCTGCCAGGGTACCATGTCTGTGGGGTCTGCATGGTCTCCCTGTGTCATTGTGCAGTTTCCTCTGGGTACTCCAGTTTCCCCCCCAGACACACACATTGCTTCAGAGATCAGTTGACCCTGCTTCCACAAGGGTATGCAGCTTTGGATTAAAGCATCTACTAGATAATTTAATATATATATATATATATATATACACAACAATTTTCTTCTCCCTCAGCAATATAGCCAAATTTCAGAAGATGCTGCCCATTCATAATTTTGAAAAAATATTCAGTGCCTTTATAAGTGGACTTTGGTGAAGATTGCTTACGAAAACCAGGAAATCGAATCATATTAGTCCTGATCTGTCGCCATTATGCTGGCTTCCTGTTAAGTTTCGTATTGATTTTAAGCCACTATTACCAACTTATAAAGCTCTTGCACCAGAGGACCTTGACCTTGTGTGATCTTTTCATTCTGTAAGATCTCCCTCATTTGCTTCGCTCTCAAGGTGCAGGTTATCCATTAGTTGGCAGAATGGAAAGCGCTACCTAGGGATGAAGAGCACTCTCCGACAAAGCACCACGAACATGGAATTCTCTTCTAGCAAATGTGTCAGGACAGAGCTGGCCAGGGATAAGTGTCATCGACTTTGGGTGAACCATACAGTCAGTGCTGTCACTCTGGCTTCCCGTGCGGCCCTTGTGTTGTTGATGTGCTGCTGTTTGGGGATTCCGCGTGCTGTTTGGTGATTCCTCGTGTTGTTTGGTGATTCTGTGTGCTGTTCGGGGATCCCGCGTGCTGTTCGGGGATTCCGAGTGCCTTTTGTTCCCTGCTGTAAGGCTGCCATTCCTAGTCCCGCTAGGGTGTTTTTATAGTTCTCACTCTGCTGTCTCACATGGTCGCTTTTCTGCTCCACTCTTGCTCATACTCTTTCATTATCCAGTTCCACCCCCTTCTGGGATGAACCCCTCAGATCCCCAGATACAACGGAGCCCCCTGCCTGCCTTCCTGTTCACTGTCTCCTTATGCCACCTTAGCTGTCCATCTGCCTGCCTGCCTCTTTGACTGCCTGCCTCCCTGTGCTGTCCAACCAACTGCCTGAATTTCTTTTGCAGTAAATTATATACACTTGAATTGCTCGGTGCTGGCCAGAGGAGCCTGGGCTTCCCCCATGAGTCTGCTTCCTCCCAGGGTTTCTTCCTCTCTCTGAGGGAGTTTTTCCTTGCCGTTTGTCACCTCAGACTTACTCTCTGGAGTCCTTGGGCCCAGGAAACCATCAAGTACTTCGTGACAATGGTCCTTGTCAAATCCGCCATACAAATAAAACTGAACCAGATTGAATAATAATTTTAAAAAATGTCTTTAATCTCTCTCAACGCCCTGCTCCGATGACGAATAGCCGAATTGGCACATTGAAAATGCCATAAATTACAGGCAGAACGGAGAAGTCCGGAAAAATGAGAACAGGGTAACTGCGACATGCCCGGAGCCTTCAAGTTGCAAGACACGATCACAATATGTTCTGACAGAAAATGGAACAGGAGACATCTGCCAAAGCTCCCTGTCACCCCGGCCTTCAAACCGCAGTGTATACAGTGCCCCTTAGATTGCAGAGTCATGCTGTAACCCTTCACTGCAGCCTCATATTGTCTGTCATGCTTCGGCCTCATGTGGAATCCTCATCCAGCAGCTGCATACTGGGAAACCTTCTCCATTTTATCCCCTTTACCTGTTAAAACATTACCTCCCTGCTGCTCTAGTGTAACCACTGTTAGCCTAATGCAACCTCATTTAAATTACACTCAGGTACCCAAACAGCAGTGTGAATAACAAACAATTAAAACAAAACAACAGATGTGCTAAAATGCGTTTTTGCAATTTTTCGATGCCACTTGTTTTGTACAAATGAGGTCCATTTTAAAAAACTAAGTAATTACATTAAATTGGATTATGTTCAGCAAAGGCAACTGTATCTCTCTTACATGCTCCTACAATAATTATATTACTATGGGAAGTCACCTGAGATGTGCCTTTGGGGTCAATTTGACCCCAGGGTAAGTGTGACAGTTAGAGGTTATCAAAAAGACATCTAAAGGCAGGGTTGGAGGTATGAATCTGGCCTCTGCTCTGTGTATGTGTGGAGTTTGATTGTTGTCTCTTGAGTACTCTGGTTATGTCACAAAGACATGGAATCTCTAAATATCCTATTCTGTGCGAGAGTGGCATCCTGTCCAGTGGATAGCCAAACCTTTGATGCCAGAGATAAAGGTCCAGGCCACTCTGTCCAGGACGAGCAGGTAGAACATTTATTGTTTGCAGCATAGTTTTTAATGCTAAAATATATATATATTCAGTAAAGCTACTAGGATCCCACCATAGTCCTGGGGTCCTAGTGTCTCTTTAATCTGTTTGCATCGACCGCTCTCTCTAGAGCTGTATCTCCCAATCCAGGAATCAGGGATCCACAGTTGGTCCACATTTCTGCTCCCTCCCAGGGACTGTCTGCGGGTCCCCAAGGACTGTATTGGGAAACATTGTCGTAGACCATTGCTTGAAACGATATATTGAAAATAAATCCATTAGTCTTCCATTTTGATAGAGCATCCATTCTATCATTTCGGCCATCGTGCTTCTGACTTCAGAGATGACGTCATCACCGAACACAGAACAAAGTCCTGTTCTATCTTAGAACATAAGAACATAAGAACTATACAAATGAGAGGAGGCCATTCGGCCCATGGAGCTCGCTTGGGGAGAACTTAACTAATAGCTCAGAGTTGTTAAAATCTTATCTAGCTCTGATTTAAAGGAAACCAAGGATTCAGCTTGCACTACGTTATCAGGAAGACTATTCCATACTCTGACTAGTCTTCAGAAAGATCTCTGCCTCACGGTCACCTACATAGCTAGACATCAAGTGGGAGTCTTTCCAGTAAAAATCCAGTTTAAAATGGACCCCCTTCCACAGACAAGGAGGCACGGGATGCTGAGATCTAATGTCAGCTGCATGCTGTTTAAATAAATGTACTGCAGGCCTCTGGATAATTAAGCGTGCATCTGTGAAGAGGCACGGCCCAGTGAAGCTGAGGATCATTCAGCACATCCAATCGGAAGCAGGAATGAAGTGATGGTGCGAAGCCAATCAATCATGCCGGGAAGCAGCACCACTGTGGGAAACAATTAGGCAGGACGGCCTGGTTCATGGCCACCATCCGTCACCCCGTCACTTTCCGGCAATAGGCTGCAGTCGGTCTCCGGAGGCCGTGGAGGGAGACCGAGTGCGACGAGACCGAGGGAGAAAAATGACAAAAAGTAAAAGCAAGGCTAAGTGCTGCCATAGCTCAACAAGTAGCGGCTTGTGCTAACAACATGAAGGTCATGAGTTCAAATCCCAGTAAGTGCACATAAATCATAGCTTGTCTCTCAACTGCCAGTAACTTTGGATAATGGTATTAGGTAAATTTAATGAAGATGGAAAGGTGGATCAGAAGGGTGATTCTGCAGCACCTTGACGTCACATGCCATAAACTAGGCTTGCCAACTGTTATGGGATGATGCTATATTAAAAAATAAAATGTTGGGAAACTGGAGAACCTGCAAACTCCACAGACATAAAATAGGGCTAGGATTCAAACCCACCAAACCCACAACCCTGGAGGAATGAACAGTGCTACCCAATGTTTATGTATTTCATTATATTTTATTCATTATATGATAAAATTCAGAAAAAGCTCTAACTCTTGGAAAGCTATATTAATGCAGAACAAAAAAATGTAGGAATCAACAAATGACAGGCATAGATTACAAACTAGTCTATTACAAACTTCAGCAAACTGGGCAAGAGTAGAAAGGAAATATAGAGGCACAGTGATGATTCTGTGTCTGTTATGCGTACTGTATACTCTGGCTCAAGGAAACGGTGAAAAATGGCCGACTACAGAGGGACATTGTGGGGGTTCTCAGGAGGTTATGAGAGGAGCAATGCGATCCACTGGCCATCAGAGATGGGGCAGCTCTTGGATTTTGTCGGAATTCCCGCATGTGATCATGGGAAGATTTGTGCGCTGGGAGAACGTGACAGTTTGGAACAGTACCATAATGTAATTACAGCAGACCTTTAGCAGGTCTGTGATTGGCTGTAGCGTCAGCAGAGATAAACTACGGCAGTAAATCATGCTGTCATAGGGGGAGGCTGGCTCCAAGCAACAAATGGGGTTTAGTGGCTCACGGTAAGGTAACGGGGGGGGGGGGGGGGCATGCACCCAAAATGGCTAAACACGGCACTAATATTAATCAACGTTCTCGATCCAGATATACGTATTAAGACGTCCTGGAGGGGCATTGTAGGAGAAGGTCTGATGCTCTTTCTACATGGTCTTTCCAATCTAAGCAATTTTAGGGAGCTGCTGCAAGAAAGGATCAAAATAAGGACATCAAGAAGTACTTAACTTTGCTTCTGCTATTGTTGAAATTCAAAGGCAGAAAGTTTAGGTTCAGAAAGTAAAAATCCAGACAAAGATTTTGTTTCAACCATTCAGTTGAGTATAAAGAGTCACCTTCATAGAGTACTCAAATGGTTGGTTGAAACAAAATCTTGGTCTGGATTTTTACTTTCTGGACCTGGACTATCCACTGCTGTTGAAATTCATAATGACAATAACAGTATGAACACCACTATGGGCCAAAAGTTTAAAAAACTAAAGAAGAAACAACCTTAAAAGACAGTAAGGCCTGTGACCTTGTACGTCAATTCCCCAAGTAAGACCATAACCTTAACAGCAAAATTTATGACCTCACTTGGACAGACCACCACCACTAGATCATATTCTGTGTGGTTCCAGCCCTCAGATAGAAATGGATCCATTTATTTACTGTGGATGTCTGCTCTCAGCTCTTACGTGAAACGTTGAGGAGTTCCACTTATGGCACTATTTCCGAAAGTCCTAGAAGAATCCCGAAAACCAGAGGATCCACAGGGATTGATGTCTCAGGCGAAGTGTTACGTGAGGACGACGGCAGCAGCAGCAGAGGCCGCTACGCAAAGAAAAAGAGGAAGGAGAATTTCAAACATCACGTGGAAGGAATGTTACCTTTTTAAAAAATACGTATCAGCATAACGATGAGCTGCTGTCTGGAAGCAATGGCTGCATCTGACACAAGCTAACTGGGCCATTGAAGCTAGCATCAAGGCAGGAAGTCTGCTGTTAAGTACCTCAGAGTCAAGCTTGCCATTTTAGGAATTCATAAAGATGCAAAGGGTGAAACATAATTCACAGCTGAAAGATTATCTGCAGACATTACCCAGAAGACTATTAAATCAATCTAAAAATCTTAAATATAAGCCATTGCGTCACCCACTTTGATGCTTATAAAGAACCAAAACGTATGTTAGCATGTCGCTATATCGCGTCACTGCTGAGTACCTGCAAGAACAAAGATTCGGCCAGTTGTTATTTTATGTCTCTCCGTGTTTCTTACCGTGTGGAAATCTTTCACATTAAAGGTGGCACCTCAGGGTCGTCTTCGAAGTCTTCGGAGTCACAGGCTCCAGCTGCTTCTGGGGTCGTCCGCAGCCTCAGGGGCCCGTCACCGGTGCTCCTCTCTCTGGGCACAATGTTGGCCAGATCTATTCCAGAGTGCTTGCTTGGGTCAACTTCCAGCCTCTGAACTCCTTTTACTGTCCTGCAGAATAAAACCACGTGGTTCACATACCTGACTAAAGCAGTCGAATATAGAGAGTATCCCTCTCCGATAAAGTCGGCACGGATTTTAGATCCATGTCTCGTAAACATTTTCCAGACATTTCCCAAGGAGATGTAAATTGCTATCTCTACACTTCAGTAGGCATCCTACCATGGCAATCCAGCTGTGGACGTGTCTCCAAGGCTTTGGTGAACTTCGCTTTTAATCATTAGCCACGAGGAACCGTATTCTCCACAGAAACGGGTTTTGATCCACTAGGAAGAGGGAAACTCTACTAGCACAACATGCAGTCCTCTGGTACTCAAAGGGCCTTGCAGTGTTACATATCGGGAAATGGTCATGTGCTTCTTCACTGCTTAAGGCTTACTCATATCTTACTCAAAGCTTCAGCCAAAAGGCAGAACTATTCAGCTCTATTTATTTATTTATAAAAGTTAGTGCACATATATTATGTTACATATGGTTTCACAAGCATAGAAATATACATGATCTATACACTTAAGTGTTTTTTTTTTTTGGTCCCCAGAGTTCCATTTATCACGAGTTCATTAAGAGAATGTCTCCTACCCCAGGCATCCACATCCTCCAGGAGAACAAATTAATACTGCCGAAATGTCCATTGCCAAAAAGCTATGTTAATCTAGACTGACCATCCATCCATCCATCCATCACAAGGCACGCAAGCCAGACACAGGGATATCAATTCCCAAGAGCTTGCCTTCGGACTGCAGTAGGAAGCCCATGTGAACAAGGCAAACTCTCCACGCTAAAAATGTTCTCGTACTTCTTCCATTCACCATTACGTTGACAAAAAGGCCCACACTCACAATTTATCTGCTAGGCCAGCCGCAAAAAGTAAGTATAGCTGACATATATCTACGCATGGCTGTCCGAATGGAGCCCTGCAGTGCGCCCTCCAGTGGTGAGAGGCAGTACTGTCATGTACTCTTTGTGCCGTTACTTTACAATATAGTTAATATACTTCTAAACAGACACGCAATAAAGCACGTGGTCAACAAAAAAAAGCGAGGTACATTACTGCACCTCACCTCCCTTTCTTTGCTGTGATTCTTAATGGGATTATCGTAATCCCGAATTAATCCAGAATTCCTGTATGTAAAACTTTGACACGGCGCATAAAACCACAATTTCTACAAAACTGTAAACTGACGAAACTGGCATATCAGAAATGCAGCCTAACCCCCATGACGCTCATTTTCATTCTCGTTTTCAAATAAATAATGGATATATGAAGCTGACGTGATTGATCTGTGCTCCACAAGAGTGACTGCAGAGGTAATACGGCGAAACCTATCCAGTGACTTTAACCTTTTCAATGACACATAGCATTAAAAACATATTCTTGGCCTTTTCGTCTAAAGGTTGCAATTTGCCAGTTTCGACGCAGTCAGCAGGGCATCAGGGATGAAAGGGCCACTAATTTACCAGTAATTACATTTAATCTCGTTGGGGAGCTCCAGGATGTAAACAGCAGCTCTCTAAATAAGGATCAGATACAGCTGGTGGAGCCAAGACCCCCGATTATTGTACGGGAAAGACCACATTCTTCTTGACGACTGCAAGGGCATAGAGACCCTAACGAAAGATGTAAAACCAAATTTGGTGTCCATTCAACTTCAAGAACTGACTGTAAACCTTGCATGCGACTTGAACCCCTTTATGCTGTAAATAAACACAACATCTGCAAAGTCACCTTGACGAAGTCACACACTCTGTAAAGGCAGCATCCAGACAGCCCAAGCAATTATCCTGACACAGCTAGTTACTTGTCCGCCGTTACTTTCCTTTTGAGTTTTCCCATGACGGGCGGGACTAATCTCCCTAGAAAGCAACTGACTTGTTTTTTTAATTATAACACATAGTAATGAATGCAGTTATTCAGCGATTAAGGCCGAAAGAAGAGAAAGACAATTTTCATTATAGCGGTTGTGAAATACCTGAACAATGAAGTCAGAGAATAAAGCAACTGAAACACAATGTACTGTTATGTGAAAAAACAGGAGGATGTACTTCATTAAATCTGCACACATTTCCAATTCACATGCAAATTCTCACGTTTATTTACAAGACCAAATAAATGAAGCATATTAATACGCTTATGCATCTTCCAAACACAGGTAATGTGAAACTTGAACCCGGAGACAGCGATGTCTGGTTGCTGCAGCGGTTCTGATTACAGCTGTTCCGGGTCTGATTGAATCTCTTGTGGTGCTGAGTTTGCACTTTGCAGGATGTAGCTTGGAGGTCAGAGGTCAGACTTAATCGGCCCCAAATGATGTAATAATGTAATTTATTCCACCACTTTCATTCTTCACACTACATGAGCTGTGCAGCACTTAGCATTTTTATTGGATGTTAAATTAAACAGTCAAAATTACGATGAAACGGCACCATAGCTCTAATGGAGACATCCGAAGGGCAAGGAGCAGCCTGAGGGAACCCAAAGGGGTAGGAAGCATGCGGTGGAACCTGAGGGGGCAAGAGGTACGCAGTGGAACCTGAGGGGGCAGGAGGTACATGGTGGAACCTGAGGAGGCAGGAGGTATGCAATGGAACCTAAGGGGGCAGGGAGTACATGGTGGAACCTGAGGGGGTAGGAAGCATGTGGTGGAACCTGAGGGGGCAGGAGGTACGTGGTGGAACCCGAGGAGGCAGGAGGTACGTGGTGGAACCTGAGGGGTGCGGGAGGTATGTGGTGGAACCCGAGGGGACAAGAGGTACTCAATGGAACCCAAGGGGGCAGGAGGTAGAAGGTGGAACCTGAGGGGGCAGGAGGTACACAGTGGAACCAGAGGGGGCAAATGGTTTGAGACATGTTCAGTTTGTCTCTCTTAGCTTAGGGGTTCTCAATCTTTTGATGTCAATGGCCTGATTGATATTATACAAGAAGTCTAACCATTTAAATTTTTTCAGATATGAACAAACCATGTGAACATGAGGGGTTGTGAAACATTAATAATATATCATTTCTTTTTGGAAATTAGCCAACCCCTCTGCAAACCCCCCCCCGAATTGTGCATCCTGTGTAGTACTAGCTATGGACTGGTGCCGGTCCACAGACCGGGGGCTTTGGAGCCCCTCGTCTAGAGGCCAGGAATTTCCCTGAGAAAAGAGGGATGTAGAAGTAGCCACTGAAAACAAGAGCAAATAGCTTCCGAACCAAAGGCAGCCTCACTCACATGCAGGGAGAACAGCATTGCTCTGCTGATAGGTATGTGCTGCATGAAGGAAGGGACTCACACAACCAAGCTGGGCGCTCTCGTGCGTTTCGGCTGCTGTCGTTAGCGCTGCGCGTGTGGAATTTAAGTGCGATTTCTACTGCCTCCGGCAACATTTATGTGGTTCTTCCCATCTGGACTCATTCACTTGTCACAGAGCTGTGGAAACTGTACCAAATATCCTGCCGCATTTCAAATCACAAATGTCTCCCTCAGCAAAGAAAAACAAACCATCATGGGCCTATAAGTAAATAAATCTCATACTTTAAATTAAATAAACACAGTTGCTCATAATGAGGCAATTTAACTGCGTGGCTTAGATAGCCCAGCATCTAACATGTTCAATGCACAGCTTAGCCTGCTGTATCAAATCCACAGGACCCTCGGGTGCACTGCCCTGGCCAAGGTTATCTGTGCCTGCAGAACACGGCAAGATAAAAGACCCATTTGCATCATTACCACTCGCGTGAATCGTCACGGGTGCTTAGCACACAGTGGATTTGAGGCAGAAGCGCGAGCTCTAAAGAGCCGTTTAGAGAGCGGGGCCCGGGGGCGGGCAGCAGAAGATCACGCGCCCTGTGAGTGGACAGCGGCAAAAGGTCACCCCGCAATCGAACACCGACAGCGCCATTAAGCTGAAGTTCCCGTGACCCGTCCTTCGAAGTGGACGGGGGAACATATTAAATCGAAACTATAGCCCACAGAATATAATTACAGAACCTGGGGCAAATACAATATAAAGTAACTAGTAGAGAAGGAGTTGCTGCAGTAGGGTTTTGTACTTATAGAGAAGAGAGGAACTAGCACAACATCCACAAACCACAAGCTATATGTGCTCGTAGAATCGGATCAGCGGCAGGGAATTAAGAGAAGGCATGTTCCAGAAGGGCTTAGAGAAGGGTACTATGGAATGTTCCAGAAGGGCTTAGAGAAGGGTACTATGGAATGTTCCAGAAGGGCTTAGAGAAGGNTCCAGAAGGGCTTAGAGAAGGGTACTATGGAATGTTCCAGAAGGGCTTAGAGAAGGGTACTATGGAATGTTCCAGAAGGGCTTAGAGAAGGGTACAATGGAATGTTCCAGAAGGGCTTAGAGAAGGGTACAATGGAATGTTCCAGAAGGGCTTACAGAAAGGTACAATGGAATGTTCCAGAAGGGCTTACAAAAGGGTACTATGGAATGTTCCAGAAGAGCTTATAGAATCTAATTTTCCCAAAGGCCTTAGAGATGGGTACCATCTCAGAAGTCACACTTCCTGGGAACTCAGACCTACCCCGTTACATCTGCAGCTCCTTCACCATGGGCTGACACTCTGGGAAAATGGGCAGCCATTGTTTTTTGTGTAATTTCCCCATGAGCCTGAAAAGTACAGACATTTATAATTAATGTTAATAATGTACATACACTTATTAAAGCAATTGAATTGATGAATTTATGAAATTGATGAATTTATATATACATATATATGTGTGTGTGTGTAGTTGTTCAGTATACAGCAGTTCTATATTATTACCAGTGAGCGTTTCCTGCTCACCATGCTATAGATAGATACAGATACGGTCGATACAACAAACACTCATAGAGAATAGACTTTAATTAAATGTCATATTAGGAAGTCTGTTAGCAAAACCAATTTATCACAAGACCACTGCTGATCATGTAATTGGTGATTAATTGATTACATGCTCATTAGTTTTCTGTATGATACCACTTACTGTAAGTCTGTGACAAATACATGGTCTTGAGCATGGCGTTAAAAACGTTAACGCAAAGTGAAAATCTGAAATTGCTTTAAAAATTGATGTAAGATGGTGTACAGTGGTTAGCATTGTTGCCTCACAGCTCTTAGACAAGGGATTGAGTCTCTGAGTTGGCTCTATGTGTGTGGAGTTTACATCATGGGGTTTCCCCCCTTCCAAAAGAAGCTAAGGTGAACTGGAGTTGCCAAATAGTTTGTGTGTGTGAATGGTGTGTGAGTGTGCCCTCTGATTGGTTGGTGCCCTATCTGGGGTTATTCCCTGCTTGTAGCTGTGAGTGTGCCCTGTGATTGGTTGGTGCTCCGTCTGGGGTTATTCCCTGCTTGTAGCTGTGAGTGTGCCCTGTGATTGGTTGGTGCCCCATCTGGGGTTATTCCCTGCTTGTAGCTGTGAGTGTGCCCTGTGATTGGTTGGTGCCCCATCTGGGGTTATTCCCTGCTTGTAGCTGTGAATGTGCCCTGTGATTGGTTGGTGACCCATCTGGGGTTATCTCCCTGCTTTGGTGAGTGTGCCCTGTGATTGGTTGGTGACCCATCTGGGGTTATTCCCTGCTTGTAGCTGTAGCTCCTGGGATAAGCTCCTGCAGGCATGGAAGATGAATACAAGCATCTTTGTAAAAGCATCTAGTTTTTGGTCACAGGAGAAAGCACTTGCTGGGTAACGTTAAGGACAGTCTGTCCTTTTTAAGGAGGTACCTTTCAAACCGCACCATGACAAACGGTGCCAATCTTATGCCTTCCTCGTCCACGCCCCCTGAAAGCCCCCAGCCCCGCGCCACCACATACCGTCGGCATGGTGACAACCAGGTGACCTGTGGTTTGGGACCTCTGAGCCGTCGAGCTGTCAGGAAGCACCTCAGCGGGGAGGACGAGCTGGAAAACCTGCGTCAGGAAAAGATTACGGTTCTCTTAGAACAGGTCACCCCGCGACCCCAGTGGGGACTAAGCGGTTACGATAATGGATGGATGGATGGATAGAACAGGTCATATTCTATGACTGGGCACTTCTACTGACAAACCAGGGTTTACAGGATAACTGCTTACAGTCAATCAGATTTAGCCTAAAGTCATTTCTAAAACTGCAGGACAATTCATTCTTCTCTTTTAGAAAGTACATGTTTTTATGTCCTACCACAATACTCCAAGGACACACATACTATATTTAATTTAGTTTTTATAAACACATACTATCTCACAGCCAAAACTCAAACCTCATAACTGTCAAATCGTTACAAGTAAGCTTTAATAAAACACCTTGAATGACATTCGCCATTAATCTGGAGGATGAAATAGAAGGTATTAATATGGAATTTCATATCGATCCATCACCCAGAAGGTGACACAGGACGGTGAAGCCCTGCCGCTTTAATCAGGGAGTCCCGTATATAACACGCCAGCCCCTGGGTAGTTCTGGATGAAGTTCTGAGCTTCTTCACCTGGAGTGCAAATTCGAAAACAACACTTTCACCTACAAGAAATTTCACAGAGCCGTTTTCACACATGAAGACCGGACATCGCCCTGAGAATCAGATCCAGACATTTTCCGGACTTGCCCTCTCACACATGTGGCACACAGCCAGAGACTGTCCGTCACGGACGCGTTCACACCTCACCTACTAGAAATCCCCCGGCTGGTTTAGATGAGGGGTGGGGCTTGGGTGGAGCATGCAGGAGGCAGGACATGACGCAAAAAGCATGCTGTGGAAATCGCAGTGTTTCGTTTAGTTTCGTTTGCAGTATTAACAAATCTCATCATCTCTCCAGTTAGCTATGTTTGTTGGGGTCTTCGTGTAAATAACCCTTCCTCTTTCCCCTCGGAAGTTTGTGCTCTTCCGCTTTCACACCAGTCACATGATAGAAACGTCGTCAAAGCACCCACTCGCTTGTGGTGCGTTCTCCGGCATTCTCCCGGCACCACACATGGGCGTCACGCGAGTAAAAACGAAAACCCTCGAAAGGCATGAGTTCCAAACCACCAGTCGATTAAACTTAAGGGTCACTTCCAGCCATCAGAGAGTGGATGGTCCAGAGAGCAAGGAATACATTCATTCTAAGAAGAAGCCGGAATCAGGGCCACAGCAGGAAGAAGTTCAAGAAGAAATGAAGCTCCTTCACATGACTTACAGGATTATCTGGCTTCTGAAGCAGCCTGAAAACAAACATCAGACAAAGATGTGCCACATGACCTATGATCATTTTGTAAAAGGTTTGAAGCTGACTTTCTTGCAAGCAGCCATTAAAGGACAGTTTGAACGGAGGAAAAATGAGTCAAATTGTGCATGAGACATTGTCAACAAAGCAGTAGAAGATGGGAGGATGGACATTGTCAATGAAAGAAAAGATTCCCAAAACAGCTTCCAAGAAGCTATGCAACATCGTTGTATATAATACTTGTCCAAAATTGGGCACATTGGCTAAAATATATTTTGGTTTATAGCCATGAGAATTATAAAGCCTCTTTGATGCGTAAGCAAAGCAACACGGCAGGTGAGATCCAGCGGCCGTAGAGGATTAACTGTGAGATCACATGTCCAGCCATAAATAATAATTAATGTCCTCAGAAGACAGGAACGTAACGATAAAGCTCTGCCCCCTTGTTGTTCCGACAGTGTCAAACGGACGGAAAGTGTCTAATATGAGTCTGACTTAGAGGTAGCAAAACATTGTCAGTCTGGAATAATAATTCAAAATGTAATCGGCGATCTGGGCTCAGTGCCCGGAGGCGTCTGGCCTTGGGCCCGCCCTTCCCCCCGGGCGGCAATGCCTCGCCGCTGTCACACGCCGTTTCTCCGACGGTCCTCAGCTGCTCAGGGTTTTACGGCACACCTTCTCGTCAGCCGGACTTTTCTGACAGCAACGCGAAGTTGGTCAGGAGACGGGAGAAGACAGATGACGTTAATTGACGGATGGCTGTTTTGTAGCCGTTAGGAGATACGTCTGCATGCCGCGTTTATCTAAAGAATAGGAAATGAAATGCCTTAGGACGTTTAATCTTATGGTGCCCTAGGCGATCGACTATGTCGCATATAGGGTAGGCTGGTCCTCCCATCCTCCCCCACAATTTTACATGTAAATTTACATATTCAAGGGCTCCTGTCCAGTGCTGGGCCCCCTGAATCTGCCAGAGTATCCATGCCCCTACTGTGTCCCTGCTCAAGGCCGTCTGAGACCCTGTAGCACATAAGCGGCTGGGGGGATAGAGAGGATGAACCTTACCTTCCCCTTCACAGTCACTCGAATGTACGTCGGCTGAACATCCACGTCCAATAGAGAGGTATCCATGTGTCTGTAGGTAAAGCAAGGAGCCGATTCCCATTAACTCCATTGCATTTATTCACAACCCAGTTTGCTCAACATTCAGGAAACTTGTGAGTGTTTAACGTCAGAACCAAACCTGTAAACTGCCAGATCCAGGACAAGCTGGCTGACCTCCGTATCATCTCTCAGTGAGAAATCCAGCCTGCAGGACACAAGCTGTCAACACCACTGGTGACAGCGAAGAAGGCGGCAAATCCACACTGTGGCGGAGTGTGACATGGCAGCGTCACAATGACATTTATGCCGACATCAAACAGAAGACATGAAAAATGCGGCAGTGCGGACCTGTCGAGTTATTCAGAGGTTCGTAAAGGAGTCCTGTGGGGGGATTGATTACGCATTTTGTGCCGGGTAAAATTAAATAGAATCTCAGAGAAGTTCCGCCAGGTTAATCGTCAGCAGCGGAGAAGCACGTTCCAGGGGAAGTGGTGTGGTTTGCTGGTGGCCATCGAGTCCGGGTTAGATTGTGCTGGTTACCTGTAGCAGACTTGGCCATCCTCCAGGGCCACACCCACTTTATGATGGTTCAACTGAGTAACCAGTTACTGGTTCTCGGTCATCCAGTTATTGGTTCCTTTGCTCATTTCTTCTTCTCAGGTGTAGTGTTCTTGAGGTTCAGTGGCCAGTTGTTTGGACTTGCTCTGTTCTCTGAATTGGGTGTTGGGTTCTGTCTGCGGTTCCCCTGCTTTGACTCATGAGCTCACCCTTAGCCCTGGAGTCGTGCCCGGTCACTAATCTGTGACTCTCAGATTAGCCCACCTATGAGGAGGACACCATGGATGTACGCGTTGCTTATTTGTGCATTTTCATCTTGTTAATGAAGCTTTTTTGGTAAATCCGTACCTAAGTGACAGCGTTCAGTGACACTATAGCTGGTTATTTGCATGAATAACATGTTTACAAATTGAGTTTTCAGTACTTTTGGCCAAACATTTTGGGCCAACAGAAGGACTCTGGGAAATGTTATAAATTTTCTTGTAAGTGCTTTTGAAATTAGCAGCTCTAATAAATCATTACAGGTCATTTTGTTTTAGCCAACTAATTTCACCACCTCTATCAGCTAAGTTTGCTAATTGGCTAAAGGTCTGTCAGTTGTTGATATGGTCAAGGGACTTTGTTGTTGGTTTAATTACAGCCTCAGAAGCACGTTAACATGGTCAGGGGCTGCCAGGCGATTTGAGGTCCCCATACAAGGGTGACGGTGACAGTTGTTGAACAGGGGGGTGGCGACAGTAATATTTTACCCAATAATGTAGCATATAGTCATCATATTAGGCAAATACAGAAAATGCACCGAGCTTCTTCACGACACTTTCAGCTGAAGACCTTCAGGTAGGCATGGAAGGTTGAGGAGAACCTAATTATGCATATCAAAATGAAGCCTGACAGCTCCAGGACACCGGAATTAAAAAAATATAGCAAAAAAAAACAAACCCCCCCAGACTAAGTCTGAAGGGCCTATATTTAAAAGTGATTAGCAATCAGAATGGTTTATCCTTTTTTGGAGAGGTTTGCCAACTGCACATTTTCCAACACTCTGAGGGGGGTGGGGGGGGTGAGACAGTAGGGCAATCAGAGCAGAAGGCAAGGCGGGGCTTTGAAGGATTTCCACGAAAGCATTAACAGCATGTGTGCAACCAAGCGTGGGCTACCTCTGCTAGCACTGTGGCACCCTTCTCCCAGACCAGCCAATCACGGGGCCGCTTATTGTCCGGGTACGTTGCACGGGCGCCAATTACGGTCGCCGTTTCTGAGCAGCCTCACGCCAAGTCAGGTTTGTCGCTAGCTTCTGGCACGGAGGGACCACACGGGATTCACATGCCGTTTGAGTCCCGGCAAAATTCTTGTCTGTGTTCCCACTCGAAAATCAGCCGCCCGCCACGTTAGGGGGACTGATAACGAGCTATAAAAATGTGAGTTGACGGCACGACTTTAATTTCCTGCTGTAGCGGCAGTTATAGGATTTCTCTGCACCGATAAAACATTCCCCGCTCGTTCGGGTTCATTAGCGTTAATCAACGCAGGAGGTCCCACTCTGATACATAATTACTCTTCCTGGAAAAATAAATGCAGCTGAACTGCAAACCCCGGCTAAATAGCAGCTGATTAGAGTGACCCCAACAAAATCGGGCCCCCACTGCACAGTATATAGAATTTGTCACCCCCCCCCCCCCTTTCCGGTCACCCTCTCCATCCCTCGCTGCATACTTGGGCTCGTTGACGTTGAGGACTCGTCCCTCCTTCGTGACAAGTGTCCTTGGATTCTTGGGCTTCAGGTCCTTTGCCCTAAAAAACAATTGTGGGACTTCATTGGTCTAAACATCTAGGTCTGGGTGGTTCTGAATAATGGCTGAAGATATGGGTAATGGGCCCATGTATGTGACCCAAAGGATGGGACTCACGGTAAATCAAATAATTGTGAAGATATTTCAAAACTACTGGAGCTGGCATCCTGTCCGGGCTGCATTGTGCCCTACGATGCTTGAGATTGACTTCAGGCCCTTATGACCCTGAATAGGCTAAGTGATTGAAAACGGTTCATTGATTGTTAAATAAGCCTGAACTGGCCATCCATCCATTTTCTGTAACTGCTTATTCTATTCAGGGTTGTGACGGGCCTGGAACCTACAGGCGCAAGGCAGGGAACAACCCAGGATGGGGTTCCAACCCGCCATAGGCCACACTCACACACCCAAGGATATTTCGGAAACTCCAATTAACCTCTGCATGTTCTTGGACTGTGAGGGGGGGGGGGCTGGAGTATGTCGTGGAGGAAACCCCACAACGACACGGGGAGAACAAGCAAATTCTACACACATAGAGCCATGGTGGGGACTTGAGCGCTGGTCCCAGAGGAAGGAGGTTACAGTGCTAACCACTGCACCCACCGTGCCACCCCCAATCTGAACTGTAAAACAACATCGATAAATCAAACCATCAATGAGGGCTCTCGTGCCGAATATATTTCTGCGCCCATGAACCTCTCCACTTTCGTAGTTATGGATTGCGCTCCATGCTAACGCAGTCGATCCTTAGTTAGGAGTTAGGGCGACGTGCCAGCTGCGATACGTCTCAGTGCTTCCCCCGTTTCCGTGCTCGGGACGCCTCTGAGGGCCACAGCTCCGGGGCCACGAGCCCCATCTCTCCTCAGCATTCTAGCGATAGGCATTCAGCCCCGAAGACAAAACCTACAGCTTCCGGGCAAGGTTACTTTCAGAAGTTAAAGAAGTACTTTCAGAACACTTCACCATAAAGGTGTCATCGCTAAATATTTATGACATAATGTGCAGTGTGTACAGCTATCAGTGAAAGGCTCTTATGATCCTACTTCTGGCACTGAGTCAGCCTCATCATTTTGGGGTTATGTGTAGAGTAGAAAGTATTTCAGTACACTTACAGAAATCACATTAAGCAACAGGAAATGCATGCAACTTCTAGAAAAGGTTGAGGTGATGTCCATTAGCCCTACAGTATTAATTATGCATCAATTTATGATTTGTGATGTTAGGTAAAACAAAATAAGCACTGAAGCAAATGCTTCCCAGCTTTGCAGGCATCTCTTCATTAAATGAATCTCACGAGTGAACTACTTTAACACTGAATGCATTTGCAAAGTACCTTGCTTTATATTAATTGAAGATAACTTGTGTTAGTCAAGAAATGTAATGGGCAATAATATAAGTAAAAATGCTTCTTATAAATAAATACTACAATATTTATTATGTAGGAAAAAGTTTAACGTAACATTATCAACGCTGATAAATTTGTTTAATTTGTTGAGACTTCACCAACAAGATGATTAAGAGAACGTTTGCATCATTACTGTTCTGTATTGTAGTACGCCTATTCTTTCACCCATCACAGATATTCTCCAGGGGGAAAAAAAAAACAAAATGTAAAAATTACAGCCGGTTTAACAAAATTTGAATTCAGAAAATAATAAATGCTACAGTGACTTGATATAAGATGCTTAATTAGAGGCCCAGCTGGAAAACAAGCACACAGATCGCGCTACTGGGAACAGAGGCAGTCGCAGCTTGCCGGAGGGCAGTCTGAACCCTTCCCCTTCCCAGCATGCATCACCTGTGCCATTAACGAACTCACGCAGTTGGCTGAGGCGTGGGAATATGGGGCCCTGGCTCTGTTACATGCTTGTGAGAGTTTTACTTACACAAAAATGTTCTGAGGCCAGAATGAAAAATGCAGATTGTAGAGGAGGTGGATCCAAACAACTGGAGGAGGCAGGACCAAGACATCTGATTGGTTTGTCCCACCTCATCTAGTCGCTTGGTCCCACCTCCTCTACAATCTGATTGGTTATCTCACTGAACCAATCATTTTTCATTCTACCCTCAGAACATTTTTGTGTAAGTAAACCTCCCATGAGCCTGTTAAACATCACCGTGACTGATAGCTCTGTGCCCCCCAGCGCCTTTGTCTGAGATTCCAGTCCTTAACAAAGCCGGTTTAATTTCCACCGTATTAAAATGCACATCTGCAATCACTTGTAGCGATTCATTGAATGTGGCACCAATTCGCTGGGGTGATTCTATCGTAATAAGGGTTATTATCGTGGGTGCACGGGTGAGGATTGTTTCAGAGTATGGAGATCGTTCATGTCAAAATCGACAGGTGTTTCATCATGTTCAGCATCTGCTGGTTTTCCAGGGAGTGAAAACAGGGAGACCATTAAATACCACCAGTAACATTCTCTCTGTACACAACGCTCAACTGGGGGCGGGAACAGATGAAAGGCACGAGCGAGCCGAGGCGAGGGGAGCCCATGCGGAGGCATCATTAACACGCTGCAAGCCAATTAATCGTTAATTAGCGGCAGGAGATTAGAAGACTAATTTAAGAGCAAATTTCCGAAACTCACCCCGTTTTTTTTTTGTTGAGATGAGACCACCAGTGACCTAAAGTTAGCCTACCTCATTGTTAGTTACACTATCGGGAACCGAAACTCACGCAACCCTCATTTAATCCAACGAAGAACTTTTGTTGTATTTCCAAAACTCACTTAAGTCCGCAGAAATTTCCTGTGGAACTGAGTGAGCTTTGGAATTCTGCTCTTCAACTTGCTATTTCAATCTACTTCCTTTTTAAATCAAGCCAACGAATATCTGGGAAGCAGCACCTGCGTTTGCTGCAGATGACTGTTGTAAATAGTGTTCTGGAGGCTCAATGGGAAACCACACCTGAAAATGGGAAGGTGGATATATTGCTCAGTGGGTGCGGGTTTGATGCTGAGATGTCTGGACACACGAGGATAACGACGGTAACGAAGACCTGATAGCAGAAGACTGCAGTATGTAACCACCTTGTTAACCATTCATCTTGCTGGGATATGAAAAAAATACAATCATATATTGCTCAGAAATATAACAGCTTGAGGTTCTCATGGTAGATGGGTAGATGTACAGTGCTAGTCAAAGGTTAGACTAAAACAGGGAAAAAAAAAACTCTAGTAGGCAATTTATTAAATCAATATGTTGCAGACATTTAACCTCCTAGATAAACTGCAACTGTTCAAGTTGGAAAGATCACACAGAACCAAAATGGGACCCTTGCCTCAGGAACTGGTATTACAGTGCCATCTGGTGGTGGAAGGTATGTACTACAGAGTCCCTGGATGGGATCTGAGATCTCAGGTATCCAAATGTTCGTTTATCAATTAGCCAAATACATGTTTCAGTAGATAACAACATTATGCAAAATAACTCGTGTTCTTTTGCAAAATGTCTTAGTCATTACAGCAGTGCTATCCCAGGGTTGTACTAATGTATGGTTCATCATCTATACATTCCAAAGACAGCCAGTCCAATTATAATAACTGGAAAAAAAAATATTCAATGAGGTTATCTGCAAGGCATGAAAACTCAATTTCTTCTGCACCTTAAGGATGACAATCAAAGGGGCGGCATGACAATTGCATCAGAGATGGTGTCACAACAACAACGAGGAAAAGGACTGTGATCTCATTTTGGCCAGAAGATGACAGCAGTTTGTTATTATGATTGTACACAAAATGTTCAAGAGTGGCCATCTGACTGAGGCCATGTCTCCGTAACTGAAATGACCGGCTAATTCATTTTAGTCATTATTTATGCATTTATCTTGTCATTTATCCAGAGAGATGAAAGGGAAATTGGTCATTTAATTCTTCTAAAACATAACAAGTTTCAGTATCAATAATGGCTAAAATTGTTAAAGGAATATTAAAATTAGGTAAAACTGATAAGAAAGTTCCATCCATCCATCCTCAACTGTTTATCCTAAGCAGGGTTGGGGGAGGGGGGGCACGAACATGGTACACCCTGTACTGGATGCCAAGTCATCTCAAGACAAAATGGTGGACAAAGCAGCTGGACAAAATGGTGGGGGCTGGGGTACCTCTCTTTTTCTTCCTGCCTTCGCTTCTCTTCCATGTGACGATGGGCTTCAAGTCGGGACTCTGGGGTGAAAGCGCATGGTTTTTCCCAGAATTCCCTGTCCGAATCCGGTTCCTGTTCCGGATTCTGCTCCTTCTGGTTCTCCTTGTTTTCATCAGGGCTATGAAGAACCAATGAAATACAAAAGAGGGAAACTCAACCATGCATGTATTCTCCACCGAATGGGATGCATTTACACTAAAGGAAGCTTTACTGTAAAACGGACCTGATGAACAGATCACATAAAATGAATTTATGCCACATACATTATGTTGTTGATGTTGGTGTCCCAACAGCCATCAGACCCCAGCACGTTCTTCATGTCCTTCTTCTTCCTTAGCTTCTGATCTTCCCCAATCCCCTGGGCTTCTTGCTTCTCCCGTGCTCTCTTCTGCAGGTACTTCAGCTCCTGCTCACGGACACGACACCTCACCGCCTCTCGGCTTTGTGCCGCACGGATCCTCTCCGACCGTGGGATTTCCTGGCCGTCCAGCCACTGGCAGCAGAAGGATCCATTAACAGCAATAAGAATGACACTGCTGTCTAATCCAATCTTACTCCACACTGTGATCTGTTCTTACACTAAGACATGTTTGAGTCTTTCTCCATAGATACTGGATAAGTAGGTGGAAGCTGGATGGATGGACACACAGTTTTACCTTCAGCTGTGGCACAGAAGCCACTACAAACTGTCGGTAGCCCTCGAACTCTGTGCATGGGTTGCCCACCAGAAAGAGCTCCCTCAGGTGCAGATTGTGCCTCAGAGACTCTATGCTGCTTAGCTTTCCGATGAAGTTAACCGTCAGGTCCAGCTTCTGTAAACTTTCACATCCTGAAAGCAAATAAATGAAAACATGTGGACAGGAACAGCCCATCAATGAATGGTATTTTGATAGGTTTAGGGTATAATACTTAAATTCAGGTATATAAAAATAAAAATGAAGGACCCACCTTCAAGATTTTCTATTACTTCGATGTTGTTTAATGCTAGATTTAAGTATTCCAACTTCTTCAACCTGTTAACATTTTCTTAAATTAAAGGACAACACATTTCATTGTTAATGTAGTGTTACGATGTTTTAAATCAGCCAAGGCATATTTCAACTTATTTTGTTGAATGAGTAACACGTTGTGTCGAATCTTTAAGTAAAACTAAATGAAAAATACAATCGCAGTGAGAAAAACAAACTAAAACTATTAATATATGATTATAACTAATAATAAATTTGCTTACCAATTCTTGAGATTATGTTATTTTGTAGGTAGAGTATTTTTAGCTCTTTGCACCATTTGTCGATGTACTCAATCTTCTCAATATCTTGCTGGTGCAGAGACACTTCCTCCAATGACAGTATCTCGCAGTTATTGTGCTCCGCACGGCGCCTGATCAGTTCCTCGGTAACTATAATTTTAAACAGTTAGACAGACATTATCAGTAAACGTAAAGAGCCAGACAGAATGTACAGAAATGTGATGAGCAGAATATGTGAATGGATGTCATTCTAACTATCTACCAGGAACTAGCAAAAGCATATATTAAACATACATGTGCATTAAATGCGTTTTTAAAATTGTTTTTCATGCATCCATAATTTGCAAATTGGACGATTAGCTAACATACTTCGCACCATCGTTGATTGTTTCACAGATATCGCAGCAAAATGTTTGGATGGGTTGCTATAGAAACCGGTGACCTCTACGGGGTATGCAAGGGACCAAAAATCCTGCCCGTACCGTAATAACAACGCCCTTTGGTCATGCGTCTTCATGCTACTGTACCGCGAATGACGCGGAAAAGTCCATTAACCCACACGCAAAGGGAGTGTGTGTTCCGGTATCTCAAATTAATATTAATAAGACAGGCTTATCGCTTTGCAACCTTCTTAGATCACTATCAATACTACGAAAACATCGAAGCATATTGTGGACATTTCCGATTTGAAGACGCGCGGCGTTATAATGCTGAATTGTGCTTTATTTCATTCTCAGATAGCCTCCATTGTTGAGGTACTAGCTAAAACGGCCATTGCAGAAATATGCGAGCTGGTGGACAATGGCTATGCGGCATTGCAAACGGAGATCTCGCGAAGCCAAAAAGAGAATAAAACCCTGAAGAGGGAACTGCAAACCACGAAACAGAGATTAGCGCAGCAAGAAAAGAAAAACGGCTCGCCGCAGGCCTCTGTAAACACTGGCTATAGAAGAGTTAAGATATGCGATGAATTAAGAGGGATTGCAGGAAGTATGTTGCATCGCTCCATATCTTTATTTGTCGTATCAGCAATCCATGCCGTTTACAACTGAATGTCTGTTCTGATATGCTCATTAATATTAGAAATATAAGATTGTATAAGATGATTTTCCATGTGAATTTCCCCCTGTTTGTTTTAGAGGAGGTATTTTTTCCAAACGAAGAAAGCCTGCTATACAGAAAATCAGATGGCAGCCAGGGGGAAGCCCGTGATCACTCCTTTGTGGATGAGGAATACGGTATGTGCAAGTCTGCTTTGAAAGTGAAGGTACGTTTACACACGTTTGGCACACCTGATGCTCTAGTGTGTTTAATGTTAGCAGTGACTTTGTGTTTATGGGGCAAAAAAAAATAATCATTTCATACTTTGGCACAGCCTGCACACGTGGAAGAGGAAAGCTGTGACTTGCTTATAAAACAAGAGGGACATGAAGACGACTTTGGGAGTAGCAAACTACATGGATGTCTAAATGTGACAGGCGGTAAGTTATCCGTGTGTCACTTAGCAAGAATCAGTCAGAGAATTAATAGGCTGTATTACTCTTCCTTACTTATAAATTGATTTTTTAAAAAACATTTTTCCTGAATCAAGTTAGAGGATTTATGTCAGTTTTAAATTACAGAATGAAAGCTTATGTGTGATTTTCAAATATGATATCCAGACTTATTAGAACAAGTTGTAACAGTAATCCTGTCTATCTTACTGTCCAGTACTTGTGGAATCAGGTGATGCTGAAACAGGTCCAGTTCTGGCAAAACGAATTACCCCAACACAAGATGCAGGACTGTGCTTTGAGCAACAGAGAACCAAAGGCCAGGTTTTGGACAGAAGTGATCTGGACGCTCTGGTCCATGAAGAATCAGAGAATGAGACTTTTAACCAAAGTCTTGAGCATCAAGGGTCAGAACAGAGTTCTGCAAAAACAGACAGTCTAAGAAACAAATATTTCATGAATGACAGGCCGGATCAACTGAACGTCCTCTTATCACCGTTGAATAGCGGCAGAAGGACCAGGCAGTTAATGGGATCCTACGCCACAGAGCCGAATTCACAGAGAGCGTCAGCTGAATCTGAACCTCCACTGGGTCCTTTTTCAGACGAATATGACGACGACAGCCTGTGTTCTCTGGTATCTCAGGATGAGAAACCAGATTTGATCATGATAGACTCGGCATCCATGGAGTTCGAGTTGCAGCCTGAAGAGATTGAAGAGACGATGTCAGAAATGGCTCAAAACCAGCACAAGCGTTACAGAGAACAAAGCCGAGGCGAGAAAGGGAATTATCTACATAAGGGACTGTCACACAGTCATACATTAGAGGAGCAGAGCACAGCATTCTGTGACCCACAAAATATTACCGGAAATGTCTTTTATGAGAAAAATCTCAATATGCTGAGAAGCGCAGAAATTTACCAGGAAGCTGAGACTGTGGGGGGAAGGTTTGTAGGTACAGGACCGTTCAACTGCTTGCTTTGTGGAAAGACATTTGCACAGCTGAGTCAACTTAAGAAGCATCAGCTCGTTCATACAGGGGAAGAGCAGTTTAAATGCACTAAGTGCGGAAAGTGCTTTGCCAACTCCAGTAATCTAAAGAGACATCAAACTGTTCACACCGGGGAGAGACCTTTTAGCTGTGCACAATGTGGGAAAAGGTTCTCTTTTGTAGGGAACCTGAAAAGACATCAGAGCGTTCACATTCGAAAGAAGGTACCCGGCTCGTCTGCATTGGAGGAAGAAATTTAGTCATCATTGAGAAATGCATTTCAGTGGAAGCAAAATATTCCTATTCATCTTTTTCAAGACTTTTATTATCAGTGTGGACTTTAATACAAAGGAGCATGGTTACTTACTTTAATATGTACCTGTTTTACCCCATTGTCTACTAGATTTTAAAGGACAGTTATTCCATTTACAGTAGATCTCCCACTCATCTTAGACATACACAAACTCAGGAACAGTCATATTTAAATCTCTGTCTTGTTTACACATCATATCCGGCAAACTTCATGGAGTCGAGTAATGCCTCAGTAATGCCAATCACTCAGTTACACTCACACTGGAGGTGGCCAGACAGTAAGTGTCATTCAGAAGAATTTAGTGAGAGAATCTAACGTGGGGGTGTTCTCAAGTGGTGACGCTGCACAGAAAGCTAATGTCACGCAGCCGGGATCTGCTCTGGGATCTGCTCTGCTTTAGACTAGTGCAAAACCGAACAGGTGGAACGTGACATTTATACAATTTCTTAAATATCATATTCGGACATCTTGGCACCTCTGCTAATGTTTTTAGGAAAGTGTTAACATGAGTTTTTCATCACCTTATCTGCCATTTGGGAGAGGAAGGTGCACCTTTGGCAAAAAAAAATGATTTTTTTTGTAGTATTAAGGCAAATTTGAATAATGTGTTACATTAACTGCACCTTCATAATGCATTCATAGGACCTCATAAGCAGCATGTTAGTATACCTTAATATGTCTTAAAGCATCCCATTCATAATACTATCAATGAACAAGACATGGCAGTGGTAATATAGGTTAATAACAAACATTATAATTAGATAAAAGAATGTTATGAATGTTTATTAAAGCTGTTAATGTATGTTAGGCTGTTAAGGTATGCTTCCATGTTGCTTATGAATGTTCTACGAATCATTATAAAGGCATTATGAAGGTGCAGTTAATGTAAAGCGTTACCCAAATTTACCCACGAAGGGAAATGGACTGTAAAATATTTGGTTGTTTTCCCTTAAGATAACTATAAATCAGTCTGGCAAAAAGTATGGCAATTTAATATAGTATTGCAAACAATCCTATTGTGAAAACCCTGAAAATGAAGTTCTCTTGAGGTTAACTGTACTGTGTGAATTGTGTTGTGACTTAGCTGACAATAAAGTAATTAACCTGCGTACAGATCTATCTCGTTTTTCATTACGAACATTGGTTTCAAATTCATGTAATTACTTATTATAGGTACAGAAATGACGGCCGTATTAAAACTAGTCAAGAAATACAACAGAACAAATCTTTTTGTTTGGAATCAGGATGTCAGTATTGTTAACAACGAGATTTTTCTTATAATACGTCATATCGAGACTTTTAAAATTACGTGTTTATAGTGAGTAACTGGAATATTGAATTGCCATTTGACTTGCATTTTAGCGACTTGATTTACAATTTATTACCACACCTTGATTGCAAATGGACATATTTTGTATCAACCCAAATAATCACTTCACTAAAAAAATGAAAATACAACATTCTATCGACAGATTAAATTGAGACTTTGCTGTGGAATGTACCAGACATGCAAAATTAATCACAGTTCTTGATGTAAAGTAACGATGAGTGGTTAGAGGGTAGGTACTTATAAATACCATGTAATTTAATTTACTACATATCTGCAATTTCCAGAGGTATCAGTGTTATCTATCTATTTATCTATCTATCTATCTATCTATCTATCTATCTATCTATCTATCTATCTATCTATCTATCTATCTATCTATCTATCTAATGTCTATTATCTATTATAATATAATATGCCCATCATGTACTTTAATCGTCCATCCCAATGGCCATGTTTCTGTCTGGGAATTGTAGTGCCGTGGAATTACAGTAATTACGGTAAATCCTCTTCCTCGTTCGGCTGGCTCGGCAGCCCGGAAATCCTGCGCTGGAGAGCAGCTCACTGTCATTACAGTTATCGTGTCATTAAGACTTTTACAGCAGTTTGTACATTTAAACTGTTTTTCCGGACATCCCGGTTATTTCCATAGCTCTGTAATCGCAAGTTGTCAGCGACGTTATGTTTGGAAGATACAGCCGAGCCTAAACCACGGATCATTAAAGCGGTCTAGAGTGCATTTTATATTTTTTTGCCAGAATGTTGAACTCGGCTTCTTTGCACTCGCAGCTCACGTCCATCATGGATGTGTTAACCAAAGCAGCGGTGGCAGAAATCTGCAAACTTGTAGACGACGGGTATGCGCTTCTGAGACTGGAAATGTCTCGGAGTCAAAAGGAGAACGAAGCGCTGAAGAGGAAGCTCTCGCTACACATGATGGAGGCTGGTCCTGCGGGGCAGTGCGGGGCAGCGGCGAGGATCCCCGGGGAGCCGAGCAGCGCCCGGCTGGACAGACCTCATCCGCCCGAGGGTGCAGGGGAAGCCGCTTCGGTCAATGGTCAGTGGTGAAATAGCCCGAACCGGTACGTGTGTGCATGCTTATATGCACTAACGTTAAGCACGATTTCATTTCCATCCAGAAGCATTTTCGAACCAGCCATTAGAGGTCTGTCAGGGAGGGGAACCCGCAGCCGCGGCCAAGAAGGACTTCCGGGTGCCGCCTGGTCCTGGGCTAAAGAAGGCAAGTTTACGGAATTTAACACCCCAGTGTTATTAGTCTCCGTGTTGTCTTAAGGATTTTTTTCATGTTGCATAGGCGCACTAGTTACTAACCCTAATCTGGTGGTAGTTCAACTAAATTTAAGATACTGAGCAATATAAATACATAATATAGTAATGTCTACACTGTTTTAACACCAGAGTAAGACCTTCATGTTCAGCAAGTACCAGTAGAATATTTTTTAGTGTCACTATGGTTTTTTTGGTCATTATTCTTTTGGTCAACGAACATATTTGATATTTTGCATGTATGTGGTGAATTTTCAAATTGTATTTAGTATTTATTTGAAGCTAAATTTGAAATACAATTCTGAATATTTAATACGCATGATTTCAGGTGACAGTGTGGGTGCGTCGATGCTCTTCATAATGGACATTAATGACGAATGAATGATTCCATGTTGATACACACACTGGGCACCTCGTGTTAAAGAGAAGCCTTTTTATTCAAAACCCTGAATCACCAGATGTGAAGTCAGTTTAACATTAGTTTATGTACAATGATGTGGCTGAATATACGGTGCCAGTCAAAAGTTTGGACACAACAAGCTACCTACAAAGGAGGGTGGTTGTGTCGTGTCACATGACCTGGCCACCTGACATAAACACAGTAGCAGTTGGGGTTAAGGGCCTTGCTCAAGGACCCAATGGTAGCATCACTTTGCTGACCCAGGGTTTTGAACCAACAACCTTCTGAGTTTGAACCCCAATTTTATGTTGAATAACTTTTAAGTCAATGCATAATTGCATATATGTTATTTTATAGTTTTGATGTCTTTATAATCATTCTAAAGTTTGGAGAATACAGTAAAATCCCATTATAGTGGACTTGCTTATAACCAAATATCGTCTATAACGGACGAGGTCCGCTGGTCCTGCCTGTGCGCCTTTAAGAACATGCAGAAAAAGCATCAGATATAGCGGCCTGGCATATAACGGAATTTCGCTTATAACGGACAAACATTTGGTCCCCAGGGCCGCTTTTAGCTGTAGTTTTGTTCGGCTATAACGGACATGCAGGCTCCGCCTACAAGGTGCGTGGCGAGCCGGTGATATCCAGCGCAGATACGTAGTCGGGATTATTAAAGTCACGCCTCTGGTCAGGTAAAGTTGGATTACTACATGTACAATATAATAATCTATACCACAAGTGTGTCTGCTGTGGTGTGGCATGAGTAAATGGTGTCCTGTAGTTGTGTTCTGGGTTTACAGCAACTCTGGATATAACGGACTTTGGATATAACGGACTGTTTTGCCAGGTCCCTTGAAGTCTGTTATAATGGGATTTTACTGTAGTACAAATAAACCTTTCTATGGGTGGGTGTGTCCAAACTTTTGACTGGTAATGCAGGTGACGTGATTGATAAAAAAAAAAGGTTTGATTAAAAATAGCCACTGAGGTCATTCTAATAGTTGCAGTGAGTGACTGTGTTTCTCGTCTGTTTTAGTGTACAGAGGTGGAGAAGAGAAGGGAATGTCTGAATATTAAAGAGGAGCGATTTGAAGAAGATATGAAGCACTGTGACTCGCAGATTGGGCTGATGATTAGTGTGGGCAGTAAGTCTGTGTCCTTAGGAGCAGCTGATTGGTCCAGAAGGGACTAGCCAGCTTCCCCGGGGACAAATCCTGACATTCATATGAATTGTTCCTCTACAGAAATGAATATATTTCTGCAGGCCTAGTAGCAAACCAGACTTACACAAACCATGAACTGGATTTACAGCAGAGCTTTGAGTTCTGTACGGGTTAAAAGAGTAAGAGATGCTTTGGAGAAGCACAACAATTTTCCGAGACACTTGTATCGCCTCATGCTGGATTATATCACCTAAGCCAACGTGTTTTGGTCCTTATTTCACATTTAATCATGGTTTATTGCAACAAGCTGGAAATGGAAAATGCATTTATATTTAACTTCGTTATCTTATGCATTTACCCAATGTTACAGCATCCTAGGATTTGAACCCATGGCCTTTCCATTGTCAGCACAATGCTCTACTTATCGAGCTACAGAAGGAGCAGAGTACCTCCAATCTCATATCAATACCTCAATAGTTCTGTCTGCAGAACTTGTGTAAAGGCTTTGACTTTGCATACATGAATCATCAGGTGTGTAGTACTGCATTGGCTCTTTCCTGTGACTTGCACCATAACTCTGTGGGATCTGACTGTGGGGTCCACCTGTCGCCCTAGGAATTGTGGAGTCTGCGGTGGATGATCCTGACGAAAGGATTCCTGTATCCAACAAACTAGCCACAGCTGTAGACGACGGACAGGCACTCCCCGAGCAGCAGAGGCCGGGGGCTGCTGCGTGGAGCGACGGAGAATTCCTCGCCGTCCTCAAGGTAGATCCAGAGAACGAGACTGTCGGTCAGAAAAGCCACATCGGGAGACTTGAAGGTGGCGCCGGCAAGCCGTTTGAGGAAGTTGTGTGCGAGAGACCAAGTCCGATAGAGACCTTCTTCACACAAGTGAGAACAGAAACAAAGACTGAACAGACAGATCGCGCTTACAGCCATTCCGAGAGGCATTTGTCTACGCTCGGACCTTTCCCAGAGACATCTGGCAACGCTTCATCCTCCTTGGGATCCTGGGATGAGAAACTGGATGTAGTTGTAACTGACTCAAAACTGCAGCAGCCTTCAGCGTGGGCTAGAGAGATCATGTTGGGGGCAGTTCCCCAAAAACAATCCAGTGACCGCGGGAAAAGTGAGAAACCGCAACGAGGAAGCTATGTTGAAGTATGTTCCCCTCAGAGCCACATGTCCGAAAGAGACAGGCCGTCAAAGTCATTTGATGGTCCAGGAATGAGTGGATGCTCTGTAAACGAGGAGAATCCCACCACGACAAGAAGCGTTCATCAGAGAGGCAGCACGAGGGAGAAACGCTTCATTTGCACATATTGCGGAAAGAGCTTCACCTGTCTGAAAAACCTGGAGACGCATAAGAGAGTCCACACTGGGGAGAGACCGTTCAGCTGCGTGCAGTGCGGCAAGCGCTTTTCTCAGTCCGCCCACCTCAAGAAGCATCAGAGCGTGCACACGGGAGAGAAACCCTTCAGCTGTGCTAAATGTGGAAAGTGCTTCGCAGACTCCAGTAACCTGAAGAGGCACCAGAATGTCCATACTGGGGAGAGACCATTCCGCTGTATGCAGTGCGACAAGCGCTTTTCCTTAATTGCTAATCTAAAGAGACACCAAAGTATTCACATCGCAAAGAAACCGTATCGGAATATAATGTGGGAAGGATTAATTTTTTAAAGGTCACCTTTGTATTACTTAATATGAAAACAATGACCGATATCCCAAAGATAATGCTTTGTATTGTCACAATGGAGTTTGTATATTTCTGTGTATAATGACTTTTTGGTGGTAAACATACGACAAAGAATTGGTGTTCAAGTATGGTGAATATAGAGGGTGTCTTTGCATGTTCTCTCCAACCAGTGTCATTACAGCTACTATGCGGAGCTGATGTGTGTTTGTGAAAAGCATTTTTCTCTTGAAGGTAACCAGCTGTGATCCTGCTATGTCAGGACCTGTAAAGTTGTTGTTTGTCCTGTACCGGTGAACAGCCAGTAAGAATGCAGGAATATACCCATGTGACCGTGTTCCTTCTGCTTCTCCCGAACACGTTTCTTTCTGTCTGTATATATTACTTCCTCATTTTACGTGGTGTGCTGTTACTCCTATAAGAGTTTACTTTTATTGACAGGGTCAACAGTTCTTCTGCTGGTTACATAGTTCTATACAAATCCTTTGATTTGTATAACCAAACAGCCCTCAAAAATAAACCAGTTTTTAAAACAGGTTAACTCATTTTTTTATAAGTCTAACATATATCCTGTGCTGAATTGAAATAAATAATGCTGGAAAATCAGTCTGTCCTCGGCATCTGTCTACAGAATCAAATACACAATTCTATTTAAATTTACCACTGTCCTTAATGAACTTTCCCAACACAAAAAAATCTGAATCCGAGCTGAAGACAAAAACCAATGAAGTATCTGATTTTAAAAATGTTAACTATTTTAGGTGCCCATTCTCCTGTCTTTTCAGCATCATAGCCCACACAAAATATATATCTTTTTTAAACAGTGAAAAAAGCTCGTAATTTGTTTGCTGGTTTCGAGGATGTTCAGCACTCACTCAATTCTAATTTTTAAGTATTAAAAATGTAAAAATAAATAACCAAAAGTGTTTCCTTTATTTTTGACTATGGACAAATAAAATTCCTCTTTTTTCTTTATTCGGTGAATGCCCGGAGTGATTCTACTCTGTTTGGTCCTTGAGTAAGGCCCTTAACCTGCAAGTCCTCCAACTTCCAGGGAAAATCTGGGGGTTGGTGGCAGGATCGGCACTGCAGCCACCAAGAAAAACTTCACACTATTCCATTCCACTGTAACTAGTGTGGTGCTGAGGCATCACTCGCCGCACGACTGCTGTCGGGTTCTCAGCCCTGAGGTTGTTCATCGTGTGGTGGGTGCGGCAACACAGTGTATCAGCGTGCACTCCTTACCTCTCAGAGTAAATGCATTGTAAGTCACGGGCTGGAGAGTGAAGGCGATGGAAGACAGGGACTGTGTTAGGGAGCTTTTCCAGTCAGTCATTTAAACCAAAACCTGGAGTAGAAAATGTGTAGAACCTAGCAGGGGTAACAGAAACAAACAGTTTATAAAATGATGATCATAACTGTGATTTGGAAAAGGTTTTTTTACTTAAGTTGTATTGCATTTCCAGTCTTGATTTGTAGTCAATGTGTCCACGGAGAAACTACAAAGACTTGACGGATGTTTCCATTCATAACAGGGAAAATTCTGACCTATCAATCAAATGGACAGAAAGTCTTTGGAGGAAATTAGAGCAAGTAGTGGAGAGTGCTGGATTTTTATGGAAATTACCATTCTGTAGACAGCTGCGTTCCATGGAAATTATCTTTAATGTATAATAGAACTGTAGAAATATGAAACAAAAGAAAATGAGAAGATGTGCTCACTTTGGATCTGTGAGTGTGTGTGTGTTTGTCTTAGTGTCTCAAACCTGTCTGGTGTCCTCCACAAAGGTTCTTGGCTTCTACAGCCAAGGACGCTTTCAAGTTAAGGTATTGGCGAAGAATGCTGAATATACCATGGACCGCCAAAAGAGCAAACAGATCTGCGTTGGAGGAAGTTCAACCAGAATGCTCGTTAGAGGCGAGGATGGCAAACTGCGGCCCACATTCTTTGGACACGTTGTCAGGAGAGAGCAATCTCTGAAAATGGACATCATGTTCGGTAAAGTACAAGGAAAGCAGATGAGAGGAAGGCTCTGTACAACTTTGGGTTCAAACAAGGAGGAAATGGTGGAGGAGCTCAGAATTGGACAGCTTTCGTTCTGTTGTACACCGGGTTGCTATGGGACAACACAGACTCAACGGCACCTAAATACTACAGCCAAGGACACATTCCAGTATATTTCCAGATATTCTGTCTTTGTCTCCAGTGTGGCTCAGCGGGCTAAGCCTCTGTGCCAGTGATGGGAAGGTCACTGGATTGAGCCTGGCTTAAGCAGAATAGTCACATCTGTGGGCCCTTGAGCAAACTGGGTCTGTGGAAGGTCTTGGAACGTACCATCTGCTGATACGGGGGGGAACTCCTGTATGATTGTATAGCAGGGAGCTGCCCGCTAGCCCTTGCAAATCATTAAAAACACTGCAAACGCACTGAATAATGTATATAAAAAAATTACTGTACTGTGGAATACAGTAATGCAAACTATAACACATTGTAACATTTAAATGGACAACAAGTTAAAATGTTTATGTACTATTAGCAGTAACATTCTGTGGTAAACTTGTAACAGTGATGAGCAACATTAACCTGCTGCTACTTGTCATTCAAAAGCTACATAAACTCCGCCCCCTCCCAAACCCCACCCCCTACTCTCCCCAGTGTCCATGTGCGCAAATAAAATTCTCACTAATGCAGGCAGCTGCACGCTTTCTTCACAACGTGAGTGTTCTGGTGTCTCTTAAGGTTGCTGGAGTCGGAAAAGCGCTTGCCGCATTGCATGCAGCTGAAGGGTTTCTCGCCCGTGTGGACTCTCTGGTGCGTGATAAGGCAGCCTGACTGGCTGAAGCCACGCCCACACAGCGTGCAGATGAAGGGCTTCTTGCCGGTGTGGGTATTCTGATGCCTCTTGACGTTGCTCGAGTCTGAAAAGCGCTTTCCGCACTGGTTACAACTGAACGGTTTCTCTCCAGTGTGGATTCTCCGATGCGTTTTCAGACGATTGGGGCAACTGAAGCATTTACCACAGTACGTACAGATGAAGCTTTTCTCTTTCGTGCTAATCGTGCGACTGGTTTTAGGGATTTTCGGAAGACTGATGCCTTCGTTACCATTGAATGCATCCCTTACGTCGATGACGTTGAAGGATCGCGGCTCTGCCACGGACTCTCTCCGGTTCATCTGGTTGCCGTTGACATTTTCCAACTCTGATTCCGCGTCGCCTTTGTGCTCCTTATACTGTCTCTGTTGCACATATGCAGTTTCCGAAACGGGCTCCTTAGTCCACGCTGGACATACCTCAGTTTCCATGTCAATTGACACTGAGCTCATTGCTACACTGGCAAGTTTCACGTTACTTGACTGTAACGGTGGAAAAACGCTACCAGAAAGCTTTGTGACAGGAAAAGGCCGCCGCTCTGAGCACCTTACAAGGCTCTTTGGGTCCTCCTCCCTGTCTGCTTCAACGTTCAACTGATCATAGAATGTCTTCGCTTGGCTAGTTCCCCCGTACGTTACATACTCGTAAGGGAGGCCGTTCAGTGGCACTGCACTGCATTCTGATGCTGAGAATTGGGCTCTCTGGGTCATGGTCTCATTTGCTGGTTCTGCCTTGGGGACAGAGTCGGCTCCATTGCTGTCCCAAACATTCTGCTTCATCCTCTGGTACCCAGAGAGGCCAGCTCTGTCTTCCGAAGCACTGGGAGACTTCCCACCATCAGTGGGAACCAGCATCACAACTCCTGAAGGATGATTTGTACTAGCGTTACAATTCAGGCAAGCCTGTCATTTTCATTTCAATTTTCTGTCTCATATTGTCAGTTCTAGCAATATACAGACGCTCCTCTACTTATGAACTTCCAACTTACAAACTTTCAGACATACAAACTAAGAGGACTGTAAGTCCAAATTGTGTTCGTTGGGCTCCCGCTTCCTGTCCGCAATATCAATTTTTTTTCTGCACGCCAATTCCGCCTAGTACGACTTCTGGCGGCTACTCCCGCCGCGCAGCAGTGTAGCGTCCGTACTCCCAGCATCCTAGTTCTTTGTACTTGCGTATACCCTTAAAATGATGTTGAATAACAACTTACGAACATTTCAAGTTACGGACGGCTGTTCGGAACGTAACTCGTAAGTAGAGGAGCGTCTGTATAATATCTACAACAATAATATTACTATTATTATTAATTACTAAAACAATCAAGTGAAAAGTACTGCTTACAAAATCAAAGACGACATCATCTCAAAGATGTTACCACAAAAGCAAATTATATATTTACGTATTTGGCAGGGGCTTTAACTCAAACTGACATACAGTTGAGAAATCAGGGACTGCCAGAACCTGAGCGGCTGGAGCTAAGGGTCTCGCTCAAGGACCCAACAGTGAAATCACTCTGCCCACCACTGGATCTGAACTAGTGATCTTTTGATCACTGGCACAGTGTGTTAACCCACTGTGAGCAGTAATGTTTTAAAGCAGCGTGTATTAAAGCAAACTGCCCACCCTTTTCCACTGCTTCCTGGAGGTCTTCATCCTGGAGGTCTTCATCCTGGAGGTCACCATCCAGTCTCTCCTCTTTAATGAACTGCAGTTCCAACTGTCCCGTCTCCTCTACAAACTGTGATGGAGAAGTGACACGAAAGGGGTCAGATGCTGCTCACTGGCCCCCGTGCCCTGGAGGAGCTCCCAGACTGGCGGCACTGCACCTTATCCACAGCTGCTGGGTCTCCGTCTCTCCAGGGACTGATGTCAGGCTGACTGTCAATGGATCTTGCAGCATCTGGAAATTGATCATCCTCTATATAAAAAAAAAAGAAAAATTAGATTTTACCTATCTGTCCATTAATTATCAAGCAATATTACATTTCACAGATATTAAAGCAATCATGCCAAGACTTGTTCGTTGTGGGAAATCATGTATTTTAATCATATATTCTTACCAATCAGTTGTTTTGTATACGGCCTGTCTCCCTTACATGTAGTCAGTGTTCTCAGCACTGTGGCATGAGTGAATGGTAATGGTGACATTGGGTTTGTTAGGTCTAAGCAAAGGCAGAGTCTTCTAGAAATATACTGGCACGTGTCCTTGGCCGTAGAAGGTAAGAACACCTTATCTTTGTGGAGCAGCAATAATTCTAAACATGTTTGTAGTGGTAATTCTGTCCCGTTTAAATTTACCTCAGATACGATAGGTTTTCAAAAAACCATTATGTTCTGAGTGATGTTTATTAACCTGTTAACCATTAAACAATTCACATTATAATTACTGAAATGTTATGGGGAAAGTAGAATTTATTTTGTCGACATTGTCAGGTTAGTATAAAAACAAAACGAAACACAAAGACGTTTCCAATGAACACTGAATTGGTGTTTGCACCGCTGTATTATGAATAAAAATGAAATTCGCAGGAAGGGGTAGAAACTTAAGACACTGCCTTTAAGACATCACACACCCATCAGAGAGATCGTAACACACCTGGATTTGCATAGCCTCGCTCGATCATCAGCTCCAGGATTTGCAGCCTCTTCTTTAGAGTTTGGTTCTCCTTCTGGCGTCGAGAGATTTCCAAGCGTAAAACCGCGTAGCCATCGTCCACAAGCTTACATATGTCTGTCACAGCCGCTTTGGCTAAGACATCCATGACGGTCACCAGCTGAGAATGAAGGTCAACGCAGCTAGTCATCTTCCAAGCCCTGATCACTTTTTAGTGCCTCAGAGAAACAACCAGCTTCCAGTTTTAGTGCTTCTTGTTCAGGAATATATCCAACTGGCATACTTCCGGACCACTGTGGAAGCGAATCACGCTGAAATTATGAAATTACCGTAAATAACATAAACTACGCGCAAAGTTACCTCGCGTAGGAGCACGAGTTCTGACAAAGCAAAGGACTTATGTTGTGTTAAGTGAGATTTTAATATATTTCGTGTACCAGGAAATGCAATATAAGTACTACTAATATTAATGCTAATAAATTAGCTTTTATTTAATGAATAATCTGCAAATAATTAAGACTTACTACTAAGTTATGATGCCTCTTGATTGCAAAAAACATCTACAGAATATTAACTTGACCATACATATTTAAAATATGGAAATTATGAAAACCCTGCCTAAACCTTCGTTTCGTATTGGTTTCTTACTTGAGATCTCATAATCTATGTGCGTTTAGTGTCGAGTAAATAAGGTAATTTTACTACCATTGAGCGCTCCACAGCTTTCCGGAAGTATATCCGTTAGGGTGCTCAGGCAGAATACCAGTACCGTCAACTGGGAAACTAGTTGTTTAACTGTACATGGCATTTGTCTTTCTATATGTGACAGCCCGAAAAAGGAATACTTTAATGGTAGATCCTCTAAAATGTGTTAGTGTTTACTGAAGACGTGATTGTTTGGTAGATACTGAACTACAGCCTCTCTAGCGGTACAAAGCGGGCCAGTAATTAGGTGATTAAAATGACCAGTTGCAACGTTTTTCGCACTCAGATGACCACCATTCTGGATGTTCTTGCTAAAGCAGCCGTTTCCGAAATATGCAAGCTTGTAGATGATGGGTACGCGGTCTTACGGTTAGAAATATCGCGGAGTAAGGAGGAGAATCAAACGCTGAAAAGAAAATTAAAGGTAATGGAACTGATGATCGCACAGGGATGCGTGGCACCAGAAGAGAGTGACTCTGATAAAGCAGCATGCAAGGGTGACTTAACAAGCGGTAAGTTTGTATTCAGTTGTATTGTTGTATGTCGTTAGGCAGCCAAAGAAAATGTTTATATGATATTCCCGTTTGTGTAAAACTATAATATTGTGCCTACCGAAGTGTGTTAGCTTGGCCATGCATGTCAAAATGCTAAAATCTCCCCTTTATTTGCAGTAACCATCCAATACACTCATATCTTTTGACTCCACCACTAGCATACCTCATATAGCTAATCAATATCTCATTGACTTTATTTGACTAAGCAGATTAACTAATCAAGTGAGGTGGCAGTGAAATGTAATAAATACATGGAGTTGCAAAGGTGCCCCTGAGGAGAGGATATCAGTAACTTTTTGGAGAACAGAAGAAATTCTAACTAGTTTTTATTATGTTATTCTTAAATTGCATGTGTTGTAATATTAAATTGTGCTTTGTTCTGAGCAAAAGTATACTTACTACCCAGATATATAGATGTAAACATTTATTTTAGCTGTTTGTAGTACCATATATGTATGATTTATGGTTGTGTGCAAAATTAGACAGGAGGGAGTTCAGATTATATGGTACAGAGTAAATTACTATATATGGTACAAGATACACAACTGTGAGATATGCGGCATGAAGATGAGGAGTCAGTGCAGCCTAAACAATGTTCAGTGTGGCCTGGGGGATTAATGCTGTTTGGTGCTACTGAGCTTATGGACGGCTGTATGGGAGAGGCTGTGTCCCAACCTGCTGAAGCAACAGCGGAGATCCTCCTGGACAGGAGATGGGTGAACAGTCCATGACTGGGCTGAGAGGGACCCTCGTATGATATCTGTCACCTGCTGTTTGCGGTGTTTGTGATTAATGACTCTGATGTTGGGTGGCTGGGCGGGTTTGCTGGGCAGGTTTCACCACGTGTTGGAGGGCTTTGCGTTCCGTGGCCGTACAGCTGCTGCAGCACCCTGAGATGTGTGAAGACGCTCGCACCAGAATGGGGGGGGATAATGATCGATCCTTTACTCGCCATTTCCCCGAAGTACTGTTACTAATCCGTTGTCCCTCACTGAAATACTTGTTGAAGTTCTTGAAAATAATTAAAGTTGAGACTCTGAGGTAAGCAGAAACGAAACAAAAAGCGACAGTGTCCCCATCTTAAGGTGGCGACACACCCAACAAAGAAACACAAGAGTTTATATACCCTTTTCATGCTTCCCTATAAAGCATATCGATGTTATGATTGGCTGCGTCTTCGGAAAACATTTCACCTGTCAAAAAGCTCATTGATGATTGGTTAATACTTTGAGAGGTACATTAATTACAATTGGCTGCTACCTCAAGAGATACCTAGTTGCCTTGGCCCCCTTAGTTTCCCCATCCCATGATTATCACATGACGTGAGCGCACCCTGCACTGCCTGACCTTCTCACGCTTCCTCCCTCATGGGTTGTCACAAACCCCCCCCCCCCCGCTATTCAATCTATTCTCTCTAGCTAAATATCATTGCTACTACTGTTATCTTAAGCTTGTACGTCCCTTTTGCAACAAACATCTTAGTTACCTCTAGTCCCGCTTCTTGTGAGTTCTGCACCTCTCTTGACCTCGGCCGGTTATTCTCATCTCAGCAGACTCCAGGTGTACCCACAGGTTTCCTGTTGCTTCTAACCAACAAGCCCACTTGCTCTACCTGTGACCCAGCCACTTGCGACTAGACCTAGAGTGCGAGTCTCAGAACAAACCCACACATCCTGCATCCTCAGCAAACAGCACGTACATACAATTTTCTTCATGCCTAAGGCCTAAAACACTGACAGCAATCTAAGGCTGCCTCTAACGACTATTTTTATGGATTAATCTATCAACTGTTTTACCGATTGCTCGATTAATCTATAACAGTTTTCCTTCAGAAATCAAATTGACTGTTTAACTCCATTTTACTTTTACAACAAAACTGTATGTCACTGCAGGGCTTTGGATAATGAATGGCAGCACTGTACAGACATTATTTTCACCCACAGTTCTACAAGCAGATTAGTGGTTTGCCTAAAACATTAATAAGATGTGTATTGTGATGGCCAAAAGTTAAAAATCTGTATAAATTCGTCGTATTCTTATGCTTATTAAATTCGGTTAGCGGAGCCACATGCTACTGTTTTGGTAAATCATGGAAGTGATAAGCACAGAAGTCGCGGTGAAGAGACAGACCAGCAACCACATCTTTTGAAAGAGGAGATATTTTGGTTAAACAAGATAAAGACGTTGGTGGTGTGGCAGCCCTTTTTGCACATTAAAGTCTGACTTTATTTGAAACAGGTGGGAACAGCTGCTTGTATCAGGAAAATGGCAAAAACCCTCGCCGGCTACACTGCACAAGAACTTTTGTGAATCTTTGTATCCTGTTGACTTTGTTTTTTTTATATTTATTCATAGGTGATGCCCAGTTCATGGCCACAGTGGAACCCTCATATGCCAGCCTTTGGAGAGACGATGATTCAGACTCTGTACGTTCAGGCGGACATTCATGTTTCTGTTTTCTGTGAGGTGAAACGCTGGGACTGTGTGCATTGAACACTCCAGTTTCTCTCTTGCAGATCGCAGATAACGATGGAAGGTTTGAGTTGCAACTTATTAAACAGGAGATACTAGAGGAAGACTTTGGGCAGAGGGACTGCCAGGAAGAACTGAGGATGTATGCGAAAAGTAAGTTTTAAGGAATTAGCTTCAATAAGTCATAAAGGAATAATTCTACTTTTAAAATGTAGTAGAACTAATAAGAAGGTTTTGTTATCTTGCTTTCTAACTTCAGAAAGTTAGGTATCCATTAAAGCATGTTCAATGTGTTCAATGACTTTCATAGTTCCTTAAAAGATGGGTAATAATATTGCTCAAAGCGGTATAGCAGATTTCTGGCTCTTGTTGTCCATTATAGTGTAAAGCAGTGTTTTTCAAGACGGTCCACATTTTTGCTCCCTCCCAGACAGTGTACATTTTTTCTCTTTCCTAGCTACCAACTGGGACCTGAGAGGTAGCAAAAACGTGGACTGTGTTGGGGTCCCTGAGGACCAGTTTCATAAACATTGCTGTGTAACACTGATCTCCACCTTCCTCACATGAGGTGCTGAGGGGCCTGCAGAAGCTGCTGCAGGTCTGTCTGTCTTGGACACAAAGGCAACATCCGCAGAAGATGTAGAGGAGCTTCCTCGGCAGCAAAGTAACGGAGCCAGTGTTTGGGAAGGCAGCAGGTCAGGTGACAACCTCAAGGCTGAGCTAGAGAATGGGACCTTGAGCCAGATGCCCCAGCAAACGGGATCTGAGAAGAGCATGGAAAGAGGGAATGCTCTTGCTTATGACTACATCACGTGCGAGAGGCTTGGTCACGCTGAAGGTCTGTCTGCTCCGAGATTCTCCGACAGAGGAACCAAGGAGGTAGCTGCCTTCTTCACATCAGAACCTACGTCCAAGTGCCAACCTCTTTCCTCCAGCCTTCAGTCGCTTCCTCCACCATGGAGCGACACTGGAAACTGCACAACTTCTGCAGAAGTGCTTAATGTGAAATTGGCTGCCGCTAGGATGGACACTGATTACTTTAAGGTCGAGACGGACCTGAGTTCTACGTGGGATGAGGGGGGGAGGATGGCCAACATGGAGCAAGACCACCAAGAACAACAACAAAGGCACAGCGAGTCGTCAAATTGTGTTCCCACGTATTCCTCAGAGTCTCAAATGGCAGAGAGCGAGGATATAGCTGCTGAACTGAAATCCAGAGCCCCAGGCCTAAATGGATGGGATCCGTATGATAACCAGTTGACTGAAACTGTAAATATCGACAGCAGTGTGGAAGCAAATATGGACAGACTCATTTGTGTATATTGTGGCAAGAGTTTCGCCTGTCAGAATGTCCTTGAAACACACCAGAGAATACATACTGGGGAGAAACCATTCCAATGCACACAGTGTGAAAAGAGATTTGCACAGCTGAGTAATCTTATAATACACAAGAGGGTCCACACTGGGGAGAAACCGTACTGCTGTACGTACTGCGGAAAGCAGTTTGCCCAGTCACGTTACCTCGTGACGCACCAGAGGGTGCATACGGGAGAGAAGCCATTTAAGTGCACGCAGTGCGGAAAGCGCTTCGCTCAGTCCAATAATCTTATACGGCACCAAAGTGTCCACACTGGGAGAAAACCCTTCAGGTGCTCGCAGTGTGGAAAGTGCTTCACGACCTCAAGTCACCGGAAACGACACGAAAGCGTTCACTCGGGGAAAAAAACGATGTAACTCAATGGCGCGGTGACTTGGATGGACCTTCTCCGCATTTGGCTACACGGTTTTGGGAATACTTCATGCAGATTTGCCTAAACCAAAAAAGAAAAAAAACACACGCAGTTAGAAAAAAGGAAACTTTTAGATTTACTCTAAATTAGGAATATCATTGTTTCAAAAATATGAAATGCAGACAGATGAGAAATGTGCACTCATATATGATGGTATTTTTGCGTAATTGTCTTAGTGAATTGCACAGTAAGTTCACACTGTCAGAATTCGGGTTTTAAACCCCATTCCAGGCTGTCTGTACGTCGCATATTCTGACTCTCTGCAGCTGCAGGTTTTCTTTCCCAGTTCAGGGACATGAATTTAGCTGAACTAGTATTTCTAAGCTGCCCTTAGCGTGTGAGTGGGAGTGTGTTCCCGCTGTAGTGACCCGACATCCCGTCCTGGCTGTCCTCAGCCTTGTTCTCTACACTTTCTGAGATGGGCTCCAGGCTCAACGCAACCCATCACTGGATAAGCAGTTATGCAAGATGGATGGATGAATGACTTTATCATGACTTACAAGTCATTTTTGTAAGGTTCATCTGTAACTATTGTGCATCACTGAATTAAAATATTAACTTGACAAGAACATTGGAAGGTTTTATTATTTGAAGGATGAAATATCCTCAACATGGAAGCAAATTTGAATAAACTGGGGCCACTCATAGCAGGGGGCGTAGCCAGACAAGTGACTTTCTGTGTGCCACGGGAAGACGAGGGGTGCAGCAACTCAAGCACAATAAAGTAATGTGTACCTTGGCAACGACGAAGCAAGTGTTGCCTCTCTGTCAGCCTGAAAAGATAAGGGACACCCTCCTCCCCAGGTTCCCGATGATAATGGGGAAGTGTGGGAATTAGTCTTGTGAACTGGAGACCCCCTGTGCCAAAGGAAAGAAAGAATCATTTGGCTGTGCAAGCTGTTTGTTTTGAGTGGCATTAGGGCACCCTGGTACCCCTTGGCTATGCCCCAGATTCGTAATGGAACATAATCAACAATATTATGAATTTTGTTCATCAATGAGATTATTTTGGATAAGATTATATTCATCTTTTGCATTTCAGTCTTCCCTTATAACTAGGATTTGTTTGCATAAAATCAGATTTGACAGTTGTAAAACATGCAGTTGCATAATGCGATATTGCCCCTTACTAGTAAAACTAATACATATATCGCTCAGATCAAAAGACAATCTGTTAACTTCCAGGTTTCGCCATGCATTCTATTAGGACTTCTTCAAATGAGAGCAAAACTCTGCAGTACAAACAGTGATACTATGCAAGAAAAGTCATTCTGGGGCAAAAAATTAAACATGAAAATCTATTGCTAAATAATTGTTAGATCTCGCGGACAAGGACAAATTGTCACCTTAACAGCTTCTGCCCCCAGGCCATCGTACCCAAGAGAAACTGTCTCATAATCTAAAACCACTGTACAATATTTATTAACTTATAGAACTCACTTACACCATACCCAAGCTGTTTGCACATTACATTCATCCATTTGTCTGTTTATTTCTTTATTTATTTTGTCTACATGCTTGCTTGCTTCCTCATTGCACATCTCCAGTAAAAGACATATTTTTGCCTTATTCCACTTATTTGTCCATGTATCTTTACTTTTGGATGTTTAGTTGTATGTTTAATCTTGCTTATGTCATGATACCACCCGCATCAAAAGAAATTCCTTAGTGATCTATGTACTTGACGAATAAAAGATTAGGTATTCAGTATGACAGTAGTTCATAAATCTCAGGTATGTTTTCACGCAAAGTTGCCGCTCATTTTAGGTTATTTACGGTAATACTTAACGTCAGCTTCCGGAAGTATAAACCCGTTTATTTAGTAGAACGCTATCTTTTGCCGCGGCATTGTACGACATATGGTTGAATCGAGAGCGATCTGTGTGTCATTTATTTAGTTATTTCATAGGTTAGGTACAGGTATTCAAAATATCGAAGTACTGGCCGCAGGGCATTACGATGTCGACCAGTGTCGGATTTCAAACACAGATAACCTCCATCATGGAGGTGTTAACTAAAGCGGCCGTGGCCGAAATCTGCAAACTTGTGGATGAAGGCTACGCAGTGCTGCAGCTGGAGATATCCAGAAGTCGGCAGGAAAACGAAATTCTTAAACAAAAACTGTCGATACAGATGATGACGACGGGGGCAGCCCAGGAGATACCCGCAAACGGTAACCCTTTATCCTCATTGTGTACCAGAGGGCACAGAAACGTCAAAGTTCATGATCAAAGGAGCATCCCTTTTCATTTCTGATTTCCACCGTTTTAATTAAGCCAAAACTCTCTCTATTGCCTTTGATTCTAGTTTTTCTGCTATTGTATTTATTTCAGAAAACACTATTCCCAGCTCAGCTGGAATTTTTGGGAAACCGCCGGGTCCCCGCTGGAGAGACGGCACTGCTCCGGTTCTGGATAGGGTACTGTTAAGAAGGGGGTTAGGATTCAAAAAGAGAGATATCTGTGTACTGCTTCATTGTAGTTTCTTTAGATTTGATTAACTTTATTGATCACTGGGGGGTAATTTGAAAAATGTCATCTGCGATTAGACTGGTAATGTTACATATATAATAAAGTGATAATGATACATTGTTACCTGGCTCAAAAGGTTCTGTTTCCTTTTATATACTTAGAATCATTTATATATGTGAATGCTGGACTTGTGTGTTATTTATGATTTTATTTTTATCCTATATGAACTCTCTTGTTTCTACAGCATCATTATGTCTAATGGTTGTGGTTTTATTTTAGGTTTCTGAAATTGAAGAGGAACAGCCCAATTTGCTGCTTGTAAAAGAGGAGGATTTGGCAAGCGCCGACTCACTGAGAGAGCTGAACGTCATTGAAGAGAGTAGGGCTATGTCATCAATGCTAGACGTTACTGTTGGCAAGGTTGCAGTTTAGCAGTTGATGCGTTTGTTTGTGTCGTGTGCATCCCTCCCTCCAGGTTTCGCGGAGCTCGAGGCTGCGGAAAAGCCCGGCAAAGCAGACGCCGTGATTGGCACAGCAGAAGACGTGAAGGGACTCGGTGCGTGGGACGACGGGGGGCTGGGCGCCGCCCTCAAGGCGGAGGTGGGAGCGGAGCTTGAGGACCACGAACTCCACCACGCTAGGCTGGGTCTCAGTGCAGAAAGGCGGAGCTGTCTGGAATCTGAGGTCTCCATGTTTGACAAACCCGCTCTAGAAATGTGCTATGCAGAAAATTCCGGATTGGAACAGGAGGATCCGGCCGGCTCGGAAGGCGACTTGGAACTTTTCTCAGCTGACACAGTGCTTCCTCACTTAGGACCTTTCAACAAACCCCTATGGTTTACGGACCAGAATGCCGACTTGCGGAAAAAACGCTACGATTGCGACTACTGTCGGAAGAGTTTCAGCTCTTCGCAAAGTCTTGAGGTGCACCTGAGGGTGCACACTGGCGAGAAGCCGTTTAAATGTGCGCACTGTGGGAAAAGGTTTGCCCAGTTGTGCAACCTCATAACACATAGGAGGGTTCACACTGGCGAGAAACCGTTTCACTGCGTCGAATGCGGCAAGCGATTTGCCGATCCGGGTTACCTCAAAAGACACCAGAGTGTTCACACTGGTGAGAAACCGTTTATCTGCCAGGAGTGTGGGAGAAGTTTCTCATTCTCCAGTAACCTGGCAAGGCACCGCAGTCTTCACGCTAGAAAAGACCCGTTAAATTGTAAACGTGGTGCAAAGAAATTTATTTCTACAAGTCACACATAAGGGAAAGCGCATACCAGAAAAAAAAATATTAGCATGATGTTAATGTCACTTAATATTGTCCAGTTAATATTCATCAAAGGCTGTGGATATATATGAACAATGTGTTTGAGATTTGACTGTATTTCCCCATTTTATTTGGTAGATCAGATTTCTAGTTTCAACCTGGACTTAAGCTAACATACCAAATAAGTGCATATGTTATAAGTGTAATTTTATAGTACTAACATCCTGTCCAGGGTGTACCCATATGCGTTGACCTTTGACCCCTGGAATTGGCCTGTGACCCTCCCTAATCTAGACGAGTTTGAAGGTGGATTGTTGGATTGGTAATTTTTCCAAAAGATGTGCTGTAATATTCAATGACACTGAGTCATTTTCAACCAAGTGCAATTATGTCAAGGTGAGAAGCTGCTGCCTTTCCTGTTATGAACTACAATATAATCTCATAGCTGATAGTTTGACATTAATGGCACTAGTAACTGTGTTAATACTGACTGTGTTAATCTGTCCATCTTCCATAACCACTATCAATTATGGGGTCACACTTAGACTGGAGTCAAGCCCATGAAGTACAGGCCACAAGGCAGGGAAAGCCACCAAATGTCATGCTTAATGTAAAGGTTGGCAACACTCAGTTATTCTGAAAAATCTTTAGGTCATGGTACTGAAATTCTGTGGATGGATGCATTTTTAATACAGGTTTTAAATGATGGGTTTTTGGTCGATACATTTTAATTTGGACAGTGGTTTGAAACATTTTATCTGTATTTAACATAAGCCCTTTTTTGCTTTAGAAATGCACAAATGTCATAGCCCTGACCTCTTAGATTGGTTTGTGTTTCTGGCTGGTAGGCAGTAGCAGTGATATTAAATGTAACTAAATTATGTAAATGTAACTAAATCATGTCCCTGTGAAAATAAATTTTCAATTAGGAGTGGTGAATTCAAATACATTTGTGTGCACGCATTTACATTTAGGGTTAGGCTGGCCTTAGGATTAGGGTTAGGGTTAGGTTTAATATTAGGTTTATGTCCAACATTAAGGGCTGCCTTTACGATTGATACTAAAATATAGTGAAGGTTGCTGCTAACTGGTTATGTCTGGCATTGGAGTTAATATTATAGCTAATGTGAGGTTTATGTTTGTTTTTATAATTCCAGTTAGGGTAAGGCAGGGTTCCCCAGTTCCAGTCCTGGAAGGCTATTTTTCTGCTCAAACACACCTACTAAACCTGGTAATTAGCTAGTGAGCTAAATTATATATGTTTGAGCAGGGAAATCTACAAACTTCATTGCAGAAAGTCAGTGTGTATCACTATTATCACTATTATTAATGTGACATTGCAGATTACAGTTACAGTACAGTGCGGGTGTTTCAGAGCATGTACGGTAATTTAAAGTCACTTCCTATGAAGTCCGGAAGTAATCTACCCAACACACTAATATTACTCCGTTACCCATCGTATAATCCCAAGCTACGTTGTTGAGGGGGCAGCGCAGCATCTGTGATTTATTATTTTTTAATAGCAATATAATAACAGTACTGCTAAAATATATATACATATATATTTTGTAAATTAGACATTCCCAGGTTTAACTGGACAATGCAAGCAGCCATGCCGAACTGTGCTGCCTTTCACGCACAACTATCCTCTATAATGGAGGCGTTAACTAAAGCGGCCGTAGCAGAAATTTGCGAGCTGGTAGACGACGGCTATGCAGTGCTACACTTAGAAATATCCCGGAGCCAGGAGGAAAACGAAGCCTTGAAACGGAAGCTGGAGATGATGGAGCTGCGTATGGCCCGGAGATGCGGCACGAAAAGCGGGGAGCAGGGCAGCGCGGTGCACGGTCGCCTGAACGGGATGCTGCCCAGCAGTGAGCCGAGAACAACGCGCAGTAGGTCTCCAGGCGGCCTGCCTTTCAGATCCAGCAGTGGTCTGGTCTTTAACATAACCTCGTGACACTGACATCACTTCAAAAATCGTTCTCTTTTATTGCTTCGCAGAGAAGAGTGTGCTCCAAGGAAAGGAGAAAACGTGTGACAAACAGTGGACGGTGGACGAAGGAGAGCCTGCGGCCAAGATCAAGGTCAGTAGATGGTCCAGCAGAACGCGAGTGCGCTCTAAAATGCACCGATTCATTCAGATAAATGATAAAAAGTCTCGCTTGTCGGCATAAAATTCCCAATAAGGTCGGGTAGAAAATGAATGTATTACTCTGCCACAGCCTGCTGAGAAAGATGACCGACCTGAACCGATCGTTATTAAGGAAGAGAGTCATTACGAGAGCTTGGAAGACAGCAACCAAGAAAGAGGAAAGAGGGACAGAGAGAGTGAGTGACCAGCGCCTGGATTCCCTATTATCTTCATGATCTCATCAGCCGTATATGCAGACCGTTCTCGGGTTTTAAGGAACGTCGTAAATGAATTTACAAGGGTGTCACGTGGAAGGGAGGTCCCGGTGTTCCGGGCAATTCGGTTTCCCTATGTTTCCCCTGTCTATCAGGAAATAATGTTTCCCCTAATATTAAAGCAAAGAGGTATGTGAAATGTCTGAAAATCACTCATGTACATTATTACATGTGAATACTGTATTGTTATTAGTACCGAGGCCCAGAGTTGCTGTATACCTGTTTTAACAGGGGGGAACCAAATATCCTGGATGTCAGGAAATAATATTTCTCCTAATATTTAGGCAAATATGTATGTGAGATGTCTGAAAATCACTGAGGTACATTATTACATGTGAATACAGTAGATCGTCACGCATAATATAGTCTTATAAGCAATACTATACCGTTTTCATCAAGAAATATGTCTATCCAGCGATTGAAATACTTTCATTTATTATCTGTAAAAACAAAAAACATCGAAAACCGTGTACAAATCAGCGCGCGACAGGGGAAACATAGGGAAACTGAATTTGCTGCACGTGGTATCAGTACCTCCGGCCGCCACTCGAGGCGAAGTAAATAAACAATATATGTGTGATTTAGTGGTGCAAATTCTCTACATTATCTTAAAGAACTAAGGCGTGTGTTATGGTTCATTTCTTGGTAATTAATGAATTTCAGTAAGCAGGCTTATTAACAGCATGTCAGTATATTTGTGCCCACAGTAAAGGGCAATTTGCTTTCTGAAGTAGTGTTGTCTTTTGAATGAACATTACCTAAGAACTTTTCCTGTCACAGTATGTTGTTATTCTGCACTTAAATGTCATTTCTGTAATTAATATGGCTTTGATTTTTAAATTTGTCTCAATACCAAACTTCAAAAATCCTTCCTGTTCTATGGGTATAGTTTAATATTCAGTCTCATTTTCTACTCGTATTAAACCCTTCCCTCTAGGAGCTGAGGAGCCGTGCTCTGATGATGAGAGCAGATGCTGTGTAGATACCCAGACGAAGCCTACAGAGGATGCAGAAAAGCTGCCTAGACAACAGAGGACCAGAAGAGGCACTTGTGAGGACATTGGACTGGACTCTGTTGTCAAAAGGGAACCAGACGATGAAGCCGGAGGGCTGGAGTGTGATTACAGCCCCCTGTGTCAGACAGCCAGCCAGCTGCAGGCATTCTTTGCGCAGGCGGGTTCAGAGACGGATGCTGAGGAACCGGCTTGCTCTTACTCTGTAAAATCAGCCTCGTCGGATGTTCAGACGGATGGTTCAGAGGAGGAGCCTGCTTCTGTGGTGGGGAAAAGCTCCTGTAGTCTTCTGTCTCCTAAGAGATCTGAGGTTGTGATGAAAGATGCAAACATGGCGGTCCCCATGGCTGATAGGGCCGAGGGGCATTCCGCATGGAGCAAAGAAGCCATGCTGGCACACGTCTATCCCCAACACGTACAATATGACGATTTTGGGGAAACGCAGGGATTGCAGTCAGAAATTCTGGCCAACATGTGTCTCCCACTTAGCCAGATGAATGCCAGGAAGAACGCTGTTGATTCAGAGTCAGACATGAGTAATCTAACCACATCACCAGGCGGTAAGAGTCATCGCAAAGCAGGTACTAGAGAGAAACGCTTCATTTGCGGGTATTGTGGCAAGTGTTTTACCTGTCCGAAGTACCTTCAGACGCACCAGAGGGTTCACACGGGAGAAAAGCCCTACAGCTGTCCGCAGTGCGGGAAGAGGTTCGCCCAGTCGGGGTATCTCAAGAAGCACCAGAACGTGCACACGGGAGCGAAACCCTTTGGCTGCAAGCAGTGTGGAAAGAGGTTTGCCGATTCGAGCAATCTCATAAGGCACAGGAGCGTCCACACGGGGGAGAAGCCTTTCATTTGCACTTACTGCGGGGAGAGGTTCGCAGGAAAGCATAACCTCAAAATACACCAACAGAGAAACCATCCGGCTCTTTGGAGCGTGAGATAATACGACAGCTGGGAAAGGAGGAAAATGTTTCTGGTGAATCCATAGAGATTTTAGGGCAGTGCTTTTCAGTCTGGATACCGGTCTGACCTAGGTGTTGCAATTACTATTGCAATCACAGACTACTGCTCTTTTAGGAACAATGCTATAGAAACAACGAAAAGTCAGAGCTTAACTTGTGTGTTGTTATCTTGATTTGGCTTGGGTGGTAGATTGGTATACCGTGATATTTTGGGTATAAGGTGCCAGGATTTCAAAATACCGGGGTAGTGTTGCTTTTGAAAATACTGTCAAAATACTGTATACCATGGTATAATGTCTGGATGGTATGAAGCATAAACACCCCCAAGCAGGGCCGTCAGAAGCATTTTGAATATGTGTGGGGGGGGGAACACACTGGCGGGGGGTCCAAATGAATAATTATGAAATGTGAGGGGGACACAACCCCCTCAGATTTAATGGCGGCGACGCCCATGCCCCCAGGCCTAATTCATGCATCAAACCCCAGAAACAGTATTTTAAAAACCTACTCAATCAGGGTAAATCAACCCCCTCCATTACTGTTCAATGGTACCAAACTATCAATTATTCTATCATATGAGATTTTAGTCACTTACAAAACAAGGTTAACACCTCTACTGTGTTATATGATGTTTGATGGTCACAGCCTCGGTTCTACGTCTCGTCAAAGGAACAACGTGATTCTCTTAGCCGCGCAGTAGTGGTTATGTTATTTGGTTTTGAAGGAAATAGCACCCTCTAGTGGCTAGTAGCCAACATCACTTGAAGTAGTTATTTTTCATGCTGTCCGGTCTCAGCTCAAGGTCGGTAGCGCGTAATGTTACATATTTTGTATACAAGACCGACAGTTTGATCAGTCTATACCACATTTTTATATGTACTGAAATGTCCTTTTTGTGTGTAATATCCTGGTATGTGAATCAAGTTAGTAGATTCATTTTCGTTGCATTAAAGTGGTGCGTTGCTTTTACAAATAAGTTACAAACGATATATTGTCAGTATATTGTTGATAATAATATATCGACCTTGTTCATTTTAATACACTGTACATTTTATATATACAGTACAGATTCATATTCTTCTTGTGTTGATGCTGATAATTAAAATTGTTGTATTACTTTCCAAAACAAATTAATTGTTGTGTGGAATAAAGCGGTCTATGAGGTACGTTGCATTGAACAAAAATAGCGTATAAAGGTACTGATTTACAGTACAGCACATTTATGTAATACTTACTTAAAATTTAAGTTTGAGAAAGTAAATCTTAAAAAAAATTCTAAGTAAAAATCAAACGCTATTTTGATACAAAATACCCTATTTTTAAATGTATCAAAATAATCTGCAAAATCCAGACCCCAAGCAAAATGAACTACAGTGTTTTGGATTTAAAATAAAATAAAATAAATAAATAAATACACATTATTTCACTGCTTAATAAGACAAAATACAAACGCGAAACCAAACAAAATAAATATTTTGTCTTAAACTCTTACGTGAACACTCAGATAATAGTAAGTCAATCAAATGAAAAGTCATAAAGATTTGTTTTTTTTGTAATGTAATTGACAAAACTGGTTCCCCTTTTTGCACTACAGATGCAAATAACTCAAAGAGCAAAATTTTAAATGGAAATTAACAAACACAATTTAAGACCTTCACTCAGCAACATCTCAGGAAACACACACACACACTATATATATATATATATATGAGAGATGAGAGAGGTAGCGAGAGAGAGACCTCTCGCGTTCATTTTCTTTCTTTTTTATTAATATCAGTACGATTTATTTTAACCCCTTAATTGATTGTACAAGTGCACTCCGCCCTGTAACGTTAACAATCTACATTGTTGTATTTCTGTTGTACGTATAGGTTATATTGTTGTATTTTTAAGTTCTGTTATAAAAACAATAAAAATAATAATTAGAAAATGCCAAAGGCCATAAAAGGCGAATGATTGAAAGAAAACTGTTGTCCCCTACCGCGGACTGGTGGGGAAAGGAACACCTTCCAGCTGTTGATAGGGGACCGGAAGTGGCCTTCGCGCGACCGGAAGTGGCGGAGGGAGTTAGGTCTATGCTAATGCTAGTGGTAACATCGATGGAGGCTGTGCTAACACCTAGCTAATTTTATAGACTATTCTGTTAAACGGCAAAGCAGAACACCCTCCCCCAAAAAGCCAAAAGCCAAGCGGACACGGAGATCCCCCGCGAGTAGCAGCCATGACGAGTTGCCTGGCTTTTAACACACAGCTCGCCTCCATCATGGAGGTGCTGGCTAATGCCGCCGTGGCGGAGATCTGCAAGCTGGTGGACGACGGCTACGCGGTGCTGCAGCTGGAGATCTCTCGGAGCCAGAAGGAGAACGAAGCCCTGAAGAGGAGGGTACAGATGCTGGAGAGCGGTAGGGTGCGGGACGCCGAGCAGAGGCCGGCCGTGAGAGAGAGGAGGACGCGCCGAGCCGCCGGCTTTCGGATGGGCGACGAGCAGGGCGGAGATGCTGCTGGTAAGGAGAAGGCTGACCAGGCTGAATCAAAGCGTGCACACACCCCTATAGCTACTAAAACGTGTGTATTAAAGCTTGCACACACCCCTATAGCTACTAAAAGGTGTGTATTAAAGCTTGCACATATCTCTATAGCTACTTAAAGCTGTGTATTGAAGCATGCAAACATCGATATATCTACTAAAAGGTCTGTGTTTGTGCTTTTTTCCAGGAGAGAGCCGGTTCTCGAGCGTCGACAAATCCTTCAGCGCAGATGTGGATGCTGGTCTGTGGAGGGACAGGGAGGACTCCTCCGATGAGGTTCATGTGTCTTTATCAAGTTGCAAAGAGCAGGTAGGATCACAGACACTGACATGCAGTGGACATTGGGTCATTGGTCAGTGTTCTTCTTTAACTACCCGATATGTTCTCTGTGCTGTTAGAAGGACCCTGAATGTGTCATGTGAGCATTCCTCTAACAGCAATAGGTACCAGCAGGAAGAAATTGAAAATTGGCCCATGGAATGTTTAATAAGTCAGAATGTTTGAGAGAGCAAACTTAAAGTTATCTTTAGTGGTTTTCGAGCTGTTGCTGTTGGTTTAGCCCCTGACCTGAATAACGAGTCCTCACTTCCTTTGTGGGTTTCCACATTTTGGACAGCTCAGTGTTTAAAGCTTTATTTAGGTACCTAATTCGGGGGGTTGTTGTAGTCTTCTTTGAAAAAATTGAGGATGAAATTGACCGAAGTTTTAATTGAGGAATGCTGAAAAGAAATGGCGCATTTCGATGGATAATTTTAGTGGGGATTTTGAAAGAAATAATGACAAAGGCAAAGGTAAGCAAAAAGAATAAGGAGCATTTTCTTTATTTCCATGAAAAAGTTAAATGTGACATTTCTGGACATAGAAATGAGCTGAATCTGAAACATTTGGGGCCAATTTTCCTCTAGGCAGCATTGCTATTGCCTAGTAAGTGCGAAGCTTTACTGTATGTTTTTCAGTACCAAACCATGACGGAATGATTATTATTTATAAATTTATCACTGTATTGTCTGGAGCGAGACCTAGTTTAATATCCAATTTACAATTTGCAGCAGCAATTCTGAGGTCTGTAACTGTAGTAACTATTTAAATATTGAATTGTTTTTTTTTTTTTTATTGTTTTGTGTTTTACTCTGATTAGAGTGGTAACTTTGTTCCTCGGCAACATGCGGAGAACCTGGAAGAGGAAAAACCGAAATCGGTATGCATTAAGGTGGAGTGCCTCGAAGATGATCTGGAGAACGGAGACCAAGAGGGCGAGCTGAAGATCATTGGGGACAGTAAGTGAACCTTATGACGACCTTTCAGACGCCATTAGTAAAAAATCGTAATAACAATGGATCCAATTCTTCTTGCAGGGGTGGTGGATGTGTCTGACAGTAACAGAAACGTCCCCAGCATTTTGACGAAAGCTGTAGCTACCAGAGGCAGGGATGGGGCAGCTAAACACAGCAGGAACAGAAATGATGTCTTGAAGTCCAATAACAGCCTCCTCAAGGAAGAACCAGCGAATGAGACCAACAGCCAGCAAACAGGATCTACGGAGGAGGCTGGAAAAATGAACGATCTGGATTATATCATGTACGAGAGCAACAGTGAGCTGCAGACCTTCAGTTCCCACAGTAATACAGAGGCGGAGACTGGTGGCCCAGCATGCAATTTTGAGTCTGAGGACCTTGCTGTTTGCTCTGAATCTCAGCCAGCTAGTGCCCCAGGGAGGGGTGATGCATTTTCTGAATGGGACAAAGTGGCCATGTTGGGGGTAGGGCACACGCAGCATAGCTATTACAGGGAAGATGGTCTACGAGATGAGTTTCCCCTAGGAGAGATGTCCATGTTTACCCCAAACATGCAAATGACCGTGGGAGAGAACATAGCATCCAAACCCAACATGCCTCCCATCAACGGATGGGTCTCCGGGGACGACCGTCTCGTCAAATCGAAAGGCGTCAAGAACCATCGGCGAGTTGGCACCAGAGGCAAGCTGTTCATCTGCACCTACTGCGGGAAAGGTCTGGCCTGCCTGAAGAACTTGAAGACGCACCAGAGGGTCCACACCGGGGAGAAACCCTTCAGCTGTGCCCAGTGCGGCAAGCGCTTTGCCGACTCGAGCAATTTTAAACGGCACCAGAGCGTCCACACTGGGGAGAGGCGGTACTCCTGCACCTACTGCGGAAAGCGCTTCGGACAGTCGGGTTCGCTCAAGGTCCACTTGAGGGCACACACCGGACAGAAGCAGTTCATCTGCTCACAGTGTGGCAAGACCTTTATCTCCTCCAGTCACCTTAAGAGACACCTGAGTGTTCACATTGGCGAGTCTGTTCACTAGTGCTTGGGGTGACTCTCCAGTCTGACTTCTTAAACGTTATCGTTCCCATTGAAAGGAAAACGATGTCTGCATCACCTATCCAAGGATCGTCCAGTAATCCTTTCCCGCTGAATACCTGATAAATGGTACTCCAGTCACTTATGTTTCCATATTATACTGAACAATAAATATATATATATATATTGAAGTACATTTTTGATAGAATTTCTAAGCTACTGAACATTAGTATCTGTATATATAATGTTTGTAAAGTCTCACTCTGTTTATCCAAGCCAAGACTTAATGGAAACCGTTAATGTTTGAATTTCTGCATCTGTCGTATGGAAGATCTGTTTGGTTTGTTTTGTTTTCCAGCCTATCCTTTTGGTACTAGACAGCTTTCCTGTTCATGCTGTTCACATCAATACAGTGTGTAGTGAATCATCCAATGTCTTGGCTTGAGTTTAGCTTCAAGTCTTTTTTTTTTTTTTTGGCTGCAATATTACCGCAAACAATATTTTTTTACAAGACGGTTGATGCTGAAGGCCGCTAAAAGCAGGGATTGAGAGAAACTACACCAGATGGGATCTGCCGTTGTACTGAATCAGTTCAAGTACAATACTCGGTGTTTTCATTGGATGAAACTGTGTGTGTTTTTGACCAGCCAATACGTGTTGAGTACACAGACAGTGTTCTTAAGAAAGTGCCATTCCCATTTGCCGTTACATTTTAGACGTTTTCTTGTCCAGATTTGCCGTTACCTTTTATTTAAATGAATAATTTATCACTGAAATGCATTGCCGAGCGCTTGCTTTCTTTTGATTATCCATGCCTATGAATTAGTCATTTAGGTTATCATCTATAGTTAATGTAGCCTTTTATTTATTTAGTTTATAAGTGTATTTTGGGGGGGGGAAATACGCACATTGTGAACAGAGTTGTACCAAGAGAAGCATAGAAAAATTGACGCTCTGCTGCTGGGTTTTAATAAAACATTAAGAGTAAGAGTTGAATCTAGTTTTTTCACAGCACAGGAACTTCGAAAACTGTTTGTTACTGCAAAGCAGTGTCCTCCAGGCTTCTCTGCTGAATGTCTAAAGGAAGCATGCCGACAGAATGGAAAGGTCATTAAAACTAATTTAACAATAAGATGAAACCCCTTAATTCACATGAATGAAATGAAAAAATACAATGGAATACTAAGTATCGGGAATGAAGTCAATGACGTTTAAAAAGCAATAGCAACAATTTAAATGCATTGGAATGGAGCAGCTCGTATCAAGGCCAGTAATGAGCACCGACGTGCTTTTTACAATGTCCATTGTTACAGATCATGGTGATTTTCTGTAATTATCAAGATATGCAATCAAAAATAATTGGAAAAGCATTTTTACACCCATTCACTGTATAATCGCACTTACTAGCATCTGAGGAGATCAAGAATATAGGTTGTATATTATAGTAACAGAATATAGAGCTCATCATAATTACTGTAATCTGCAGCTGAATCATAGACCCAGGAAAGACTTTATAAAGGAGGGTGTTTGAATGACAACTGGGACATTTGCTCAGTGGGAATGAAACTTATAATCATCCACATTCAAATTACAGCTCGACAATAACTGACACTGCTTTTCAAAAACGTAATTGTGCATTTTAATTTTACCAGTCTTAGTAAAAGCGACAATTCAATGGACCCAAGAAATTTCATGGAACAAATGCCAACAGTCTAGATAATGGCCACTAGATGGCGCAGAATAACAGTTATTTGAAAGACTTGTTTTTTAGATATGTGTACAAACTGAATCAACCAAGTAAAAACTGAAAACACAGGTACCTATTTACTAATAATGCATATTTTTATTTAATGATTGATTAAAGTAAGAACAACAGTAACAGCACAAACATTTAACACATTTTAGGTGCAGTGGCGTTCCGCCACCACACAAAACATTCAACGCTGGTGGCTATTCTATGGTGTCAGACATCTCTGAAGAACATGCTGAGTAATGTCACCAGGACAGACTGGCAGGGCACCAACTGGGTTAATCATTTTACTGTATTTTACTCAATTAGAGTAACTACTTGAATCACTAGTCATATTAAAATGTTTAAAAACACTGAGAAAATACAAAAAACAAGATGAAAGTGTACAATCTCAGAAGTGCCTTGAGTTTGCGTATAAATGTTTGCGAGGAACAAACACACGCTAATTTTACAGCACTGAAAACAATTTTGTTTACAGTAATGTGCAATATATCCTAAGTTACTTTTCTTCAGTGCTATTAAACCATGTCAGAATTCAGATAAAGATAAATTACTTCGTTCTCTCCTAAACAATACTACGTTTAGGATATACTCATCAAGAGTCAAATCTACTATCAATGCTCTAAAAATCTTGGCTTTAGACATAATTTGTACTTCAATTTCAGCTTCAACTAAGGCAGAATGCTGATATTCAGATACGTTTCAAGTGCTAACAGATGGAACAGGATTTTACTAGAGTTATTTTTGGCTACAAGACCCACTGGACTCATTTTTATGTTCACTGCCTAAAAGTGACAGACGGCTCACTGGCGAAAAACATGCATCTCCGTTCTTACGGAAAACACAAGTTACCTGCACCAGGCCTTGGCTTTCCTGAATGACAGCACTTACAATACTTAAATTTATCTTTGTACACTTCATTTATAACCCAGTTGGTAAATTTTGATTAAAACATTTACTGTATCTAGAAAAAATATGATATGATATGAATACAAACATATTTGGCACTTAGAGCTCAGATTATTACACATTCCTAAGTATTTCTTTCATATGGAATCTATAATCTGAGAAGCAAACTAATGACGTGACATTTATGTGGAAGCACACATAGATATTAAGGTGTGACACAGCAGAGCGATGTCCCAAACTCTTATGGCCGGTCAGTTAATGCTAGTTACTCCTGGACTTCAGTACAAACGAAACAGTTTCATTCCCATTTAACCGAAGACATCATGCGAGGACTGATTTTTAAATAAGATTTTCAAAATTACTTTAAATCAAAGTCTTTCCAAATCATTTTTTGCATGATTTGTTAATTGAAATTGATTGTACTTATTTAAATGATCATTTTCAGCTTTGTCAGTACTTGCCCAGTGTTTAAGTATGTAGGTAATCATTGAATAATGATTGATTAAAGCCCACCAAGAATAGAGTTTGAGACACCTGCTATAGATCTACTATTATAGTACAACAGCATTGTTTATTACATACCATAGTTCTTGATTTCTCTAACAGCCTGGTAATGCAGGACACCCAAACATGATTTTTTTCCCCAGTAATGCTAAACGTAGCTTCATAAATCTGCAGAGAAACGTTTCCTTCGGAACATGTTTTGCTTTAAGTTTAACAACAACAGTACAGTTATCTGTAAGCAGTAAACGATTTCTCAGTTCCCAAAGTCTAGGTGCTGATATTAAATCATTAGTCATCAAAATCGTAAAAATAGCTCTTTCAAGTCCATCCATTGCATATCTGCTATGAGAGGTAATTATAGATACCGCCAATGTAAACTAACAACGACCCAATTCTGCATAACGCATATTAATACGCCGTAGGCTTATCATACGTACATATTCTGGTATTTTGACAGTACGATTGGAAACCAGTGTTCGAATTGAAGAGGGTCTGGGGGGGTCCACTGACCTCACATAAGACAAGCACCCCTCCCCACCCCCAAATATAATTTTGTATTACAAATGCTCCTCGATATACGATGGGGTCACGTTCCGATGAACTCATTGTACGTTGATAATATCGTAAGTCGAATATGAGTATGACTAATAATTAAGAACGTATCTGTAGCCCCCAGAACGGAAGCAGAATCAACGTTTGATGACTACAAGTACATTGCTGTCGCACCATCATAAATATGAAACACTAAAAGTGGATCCCCACTCCACAATTCGAACACTGTTGCAAACGTCCTTCTCGCAGGTTGAGCTCTGCAGAAGTCAGCCTGTAGGCACTGTGCTGATTTCACTGTCAGGCACATTGTGACTTGCGGACCCGGAGGTCCCTCTGTCGACTCAAAAGGCACTTTACTCACGGGCCTGTGTTCTAACTCAATCTTTTGGCCGCGAAACAATGGCACTTACCGCTAATTACCCATTAGAAATTTCGGAAATCTATGTGCTGCTCAGACAGCCTGTGCAAATACTTCAAACAATTATTACTTTTTGGTTTATCTTCACAGGATTTGTTCTATTTATTCTGATTTACAGATCGTATATCTTCTATATACATACACCAAAACCATGTTGGATAGCCCAAAACAACCAAAGCAATCTACTAGACATCCAATATCAAAATAAAATGAAAGCATCAGTATAGGTCATTACATATACTTTCATTTTATTTTATTGAGGTAATAATACCTATTTTGTATAACTCATTCACAAGAATCAAGAGTATTTTATTTACCACAAGTATATAAAATACCCTTATCGATAAACAAAATTTGATCCCAGTTATAACCATTGACAAAAACCTCTCCCAGACGTGACACGTTATGGTCGACATGTTTACGTACATTTCACTTATAATCCAGAATAAAATGTGACTCGTCACTCTGATGTTCCTTCTCCAGTGTCTGTCTCATCTTTCTTCTTCCGCTCCTCTTTTGTTCTTGCCAGTCATCCTCAATTCCCATGGCTTAGGAAGCAAAAAACACGAGAATTAGCCAGCAGCGACAACGTACTTTTTCACGTGTGTCTTCCAGGAAGGAGACGAAGAAGACCTGCTTTCCGTTCGTCTATTCGTTTCTTGAGCTGATATCCTGAAAAATGAAACATGCAAAGAGCCAGTATTACATCTCAGTGGGAATCCGCGGTGAGCTGATGACTTCTACGCGTCTAATGAGGGTTACGCACCTCTGTTTTCGTTCTGGCCCAATTTACCGTCGTCCTGAATGTAGACTTCACAAGGACTGCAATGAAAAACACGAGTACACTGTTTATCACCAAGTACAGTACAAGTTAGTATTTCTTCCCTCATAAACGTGCTGTTCCGTGCGAATGACAATCATTAGTATTTATTAGTATTCACCCTTTATAGACCTAATGTATCAGCATGTGGACCTTGATCAAAGTTTCCCCTTCAGTTCACGGTTCCACGGTTCGAGCACATTCAGAGCCTACGACGTACTTATGGGAGGGACAGGGTACTTACAGAACGACGTCAGGATCAGGGTGAACGTGATCGACCCCACAGCGACTCCTGCCAGCAGGGACCTGGAGAAAATCATGAGGTCATAGGAGATAGACTAAGGTACTCAGGACTAGTATTGTCAAAAGGATCAAAAGCACCGAAAGTATCAATACTATCATGTATATAAGGGATTTAATACTGATTTTTCATAGTATTGAATCTATAGCCTGCACTTCCGGTTTGCTAGAAATACTTTTTCTTTGTGCCAATGAAGACTGTGAACCACAGGGCATATGCAGGCTTTTATGCAAGTTATACTACGGCACAATACTAACAAAGGGGGTAAACACCCCGAATTTAGCTAAACATTTAAAGGGCCGACACGTGACGCAATACAAAGAGTTTTGTGATACAGGTATATATGCATACACGCACAGTGATGTTTGCAAAAGGTTGTGAAGTTTTTACTGCAAACAAAATTGCAGTTGAAATAAAAAATTTTATTGAGTTAGTTATATAACTGTGTTGGGTATTGAAAATGGTATCGAATTTGAATACCTTTCTTAGAATCATATCGAAGTTGTAATTTTGGTACCGTGGCAACTGCAGCTTAGAAGGTGAAATGTCACAGACACTGTGGCAGTGCATTCCAGAGCATGGGTGTTACAGCAGTAAATGTCCTACCACCCACAGAAGTTAATCAAAACCTAGGTTCCGTGTGGAAAAAAGAACCTGAGGTGTACAGGGAGCGAGTCCGTGATACGTATCACTTTGATTCTGAAAGTAACTGGCAACTGTCATTAACATTTATCCTATCAGTTATCGATTGTATTTGATCCTATTTTGCGGTACTATCTACAGCCATAGGCGCAAGATGGGTCCCGACTGGACGGCGAGATTGTCCATCACGCGGTGTTGACACCCAAAGAGAGAGCTGCCATGACCCAAATACCAAGCAGTGTTCCATAAACGACGTGGTGGGATGCAGCTCTGGGCGGTTTGTGCTGCACAGGCAGACGTTACCTGGAGAAGAGAGCTGTGAACAGGCTGACGGTCAGGAAGATGAGGAAGAAGGCAGTCACCATGGCGCGATCTGAGAAACACGGGGGAACATTCGGGAAGGGGATTCTTTATTTGTCTGCCTCCTTTTACCTTTTAAGTTAATATTCCTTGATGGTGAAATGCAGCAGAGCCTTTAACAAGTAACAAGTGGCGAAGACATATCAGGGAAAGCCATACAAACAAAGGATACAAGAAAAACATGACAAAAAGATTCAGGCAGTGAGTGGACACCCTTGGGTCCTAAATGGCTCATTCGCTGGAGCCATTCATCAGCCCTACCATGATTTCAACCTGGGCCATGTTAATTGCTCAAAGTGACCATCTGTCCAGACTCATTCCCTGCTCCCCATAGAGCACAGGTGTCAGACTCCAGTCCTGGGGGGCCGGAGCCCTGCACATTTTTGGGTTTCCCCTCGTTTAACACACCTGATTCAACTCCTTGTGCTAATTACCACATAGCAGTTGAGCTGAATCATTTGTGGTGGAACAGGGAAAGAACTAAGCTACACAGGGCTCTGGCCCCCCAGGACCGCAGTTTGACACCCCTGTCATAGAGGGTGACTGTCAGCTGCCGGCGAGTCACTGTGTTGTGACAGTTCAGTCGCTCCTGGAGGCGGAGCTTAGGCACCCCTGCATGGCCGCAGTTTATTGGCAGATTGAAAAGATGATATAGTGGGAGGGTGGAGGACCACTGGCTTTTGCTCTCGGCCACCTCAGACTCACAATACCGACTTCCTAAAAATGTTAAAACATCCGCTGAACTGGGAAAAATAACAGATCCAGCTATTTCTGTAGCTTTCAGGTGCTACGCTGGGAGCCCGTGGGAGGGGATTAAAAGTAAGGAACTGATTGGAGGAACGAGCAGCATTGACTGAACGGCCCAATCGGGAGGCTCACCTGAGGGGCGGGGTCTGTGGTGACAGCAGCTCTTGGTGTTAAAGGGAGAGGGGGGCGGGACATCCAGGAAACCCCCCAGGGATTGGCTGAACTGTTCCTTGGAGAAGCAGGCCTCGGTGTCCAGGACCGAGAGCTCGCCCTCCTCCTTCAGGCAGGATGCATGGCCGGGCTTCTGTGGCGTACTGTGGTCTGGAGAATGTGGAGGAAAGGTCTCGTCATGAAGACACTTCAGACACACAATCACATCCACACTGCTGCAAGCCCCATGTCTGCTATGAGTTTACATTAATGTTCTCCTAACCACAATAAGCACAATGCTCTACTTTAAGGTTCCACAATTCTATCCTGGAAGACCGGAATCCAACACAGTTTGCTGATTTCTATGCTCAAACACCGTTTAGTAGGTGTGTTTTAACAGGGAAACCTGTAAACTGTGTTGGATTCTGGGCCTCCAGACCTGGAATTGGGAATCCCTGCTGTACTTGTTGAGCTACAGGAGACCAGGACCAGAAGACAGATAAGTGAAGTCCTTCTCTCCCAGATCTGCACACCTCTGTTCTATCCTTTCTCGTTCACATCAAACGACCCTCCGCCCCCAGCCGCTCACCATAAATGAAGTCGCAGTCCTTCGTGAGCCCAGGAGTACTTTCCTCGCTCCAGGAGGACTCGCCGAGAGGGGGTCGATACACCGCCTCAAAGACGCTGCTCTCCAGCCACGACGAGGTCACCCCGAACAGGCTGGCCAGCGACCGGCGGGACCTGCGCCTCCGGCGGAATATCCTGCGAATATTCCGGAAGTTGTCTCTCAAACAGCTATCTGTTTAGCTAATTCTTCAGCCTTGATTACAGTCCCCACCCCCCACAGAAGGAATCAGAATATATTCAGAACACATCTACTGTTCTTTTTTTATAAATTAAATATTGATTGACAGTCCAACGGTCAGACTCTGGCTTGTTATACATATGGCCAGTTTGAAATAGGACAAGAATATGACTAAAAATGTTTTGGAGTGTATTGAAGGACCAAAAATAGATACGCTATGGAACAATGTCCCACTCTTACGAAAGTCAGAGGATGATTAGGAATCAAGGGTCATGAGGTTTTCTGTACCAAATTCATCCCTTAAACGCAATCAGTGATCTTACAGACGTCATAGCATCCTGTTGCTGTCAAAATCATGTGACATTCTGCCAGTCACATGACCCTGATATCCACCAATAGAATTTATATGTATTTAATCCATATTGCTTCATTATTTAAGTTAGACATGTAGAGGTTAAATAAAACTGAAAATGATCCCGACTCTGAAGCCGTTTGAGGGCAAAAAACAAGGCTGTCGGTTGAATAAGCCGGCGGCTGCCTTTACAAAGCCTCTGTTATGCTTCAATCCCCGATGGCAGCTGTAGTGCTTGACTTCAGTGCGAGATACATATGACTCAGAGGCAGGGAATTCACTGGGCCTGACGACTGTCGCTAGGTTTACCTCACTCTCCTGCAAGCCAAGCGTTACCTCAGTGATTTACTATGAGACCGGGGTCTCTGTGAAGGTGCAGGATTGCGCAACGCTCTTGAAGGTTTTTATGCAACCTGACACCTTTCTGAAGATTACTAGACTGCTAGTGCGCTCGTTACCACATCCTCCGTGTGACTGTTAAAATGCCCGCAGCAAAACTCACAAAGGTTTCCTTGCCTCTGTTAACAGCAGCCTGTTCTCACGAACCGAATGTACACTATTTCCAATTTTCTAGCTATTTAAAATGTACATATTTATCTATGTAATCTACGTATTTGCACAAATGAGCTTTAGGGAACCTTTACAGAAAAAGCACATTTTTAATAGGCACTTCAGACTATCGTGGGCAAATATGTAAGCCTCAAAAGATATTTGTGGCTCAGAAATCCTGCTACCTGCTTGACGATCTTTACATTTAACTTTCTGTCCATAAATCCATCCATTTTCCAACCACAGGACATAAAACTTTGCCTACTGTACATCATTACGTCCATTACTTTCAAAAACAGTTCTGAGATGTTTCTTGTAAACCTTTCTCTTACACTATTACTTGCACACGCATATTTCGCGCTGGTTAGATCGTAGCCCTGGGAGAGCCGACTCACAAGCGTGAGGGGCAGCTGGACAGCTCACCTGACCAGGTTCTCCTTGTAGGACACGTTGGTCTTGGAGGGCGTGAGCGAGACGTTGCCGTCGTCGTCGAACACGTAGCTGTCCTCCGTTAGCACGTAGTAGCCGTTGGAGAGGAGGCGGGGGCTCCGGCGGCAGGAGCAGGGGGAGCCGGTCAGCGGGTTGACGGAGAAGCACTCGTAGGTCAGATCGGGGGATAGAAGGGACAAGCTGAAGCTGAGGGGATGAGAGAACACAGGTCATAACCTCAGCATCTCATTTAGCTATGAGGAAATCGGCTCCCTATCCGTCAGCCTTACCTGTGACACGACTGGTCAGCCAGGGATTCTCGTCTCCTGATAGGAGAACCTGTAGTATTAGACATTAAAACAAATATATGCACCAATATGTAAACTGTCTGAGTCATTGTGGTTTCCCCAAGTACTGAACCAAGCTTAAATACATTCAGGACTGGCATGCTAATATTTAAAGTCAAAAATTGGTCTGAATATTTGTGGAAATTAGTATGAATTTTACCTTGCAGAACAGGGGTGTACGCAAGGGCGGGGCCACAGCAGCACAGACCCCAGCTGAAAGCTGATTGGCTCCCGGAGTGGCCCCTCCCCATCACTTACCGATTCAAATCACATCATTGGCTAATAATAAGGGTGGTCCATCTGTATGAATTGTGGCCCCTCTTACGCCCCCCCTTACGACCTTAAAATCGCCCCTGCTACAGTATCACTAAAGCAAAATAAAGCCGCCTTCCTACGATCTGGCGTCCTTCATGCAGGGAGAGAGATCTGCTCCCTCTTTATAAGCCCCATGTCAAACCTACTTGTCACTGCCTCCGAAAACAGGAGCGCCATGACCGAAGGACGCAGGACTCCCTCTGGAAGACACAACGCGGCAACTGCACACTCTCTGGCTAGTCTGCGAAGACAAGATGCACACAAGATGTTTGTAAACAATACTGCGCGACACGAGACCCAAACGAACACGAGAACCTGAAGCAAAATGTGACGTGAAAGCTGCTGCCAAAGGGACTGAATCTGTAGAAAACCACAATGTAGTTAGGAATAGGGAGAAGGGGATTAGCTTAGCATGTCCAGATGGGTTGTGGGGTCAAATCCCATGGCTGCCAGAGGAATATCATATTACTGATGGGCCATTGAGCAAAATGCTCAAATGCTCTAACAAGACTGGCTGAGACTTATATGTTACAAAATAAAATGACTGCTAAATAACTAAATGTACCTGGTTAATACCCCTGGTGGTCTGGATAATAGTAGGAACACCAAATGATACGTAGCCATAGAAAAAAGCGAAAGGCTGTCATCCGCTTATCGTCTGCAGAGGAAAGCGTCTCTTTCCATCACAAGTGTTTCCCTGTTATTTTTAGCGAAGCCTGAAGCCGAACCTGAAAACAGGCCTGGAATGCAGTAGGGGAGATAATGCTTGTAGTTTGGAGGAGCCATCTGTATGTCACACAGCTCTGACACTCTCTCTAATGACTCTCTAACGACACTCTCTCTAATGACACTCTCTCTAATGACTCTCTAACGACACTCTCTAATGACACTCTCTCTAATGACACTCTCTTTAATGACTCTCTAACGACACTCACTCTAATGACACCCTACCGACACTCTCTCTAATGACACTCTAACAACACTCTCTCTAATGACACTCTCTGACACTCACTCTAATGACACCCTAACGACACTCTCTCTAATGACACACTCTAATGATTCTCTCTCTAATGACACTCTTTCTAACGACATTCTCTAATGACACTCTCTCTAAGTTCCTTGTATACGTGACTGCAAAGCCAAAAATGGCTTGTTTCAGTTTCTCTCCAGTGGTTCACAGACTGACTGGCATCCCATCCAGGATACACTCCTGCACTTCAGGCTCCTTGTCACCCTGACCAGGATAAGCGATTATAAGATGGACGCATGGTACATGGGCACGTTTAGCTGCGGAGAAACGTCAAGTGAGGTAGTGAGGTTCTGCAGACCAGATCACTGGTTACCATCCTAATCCTAGTTATCCGGGTTACTGGGAGCTGCCAAAAACAGATCTCTTGGTTCTACCCAAGCTGTACCATGCCAAGCTACAACCAGTCCATACATCAAAGGTCAACAAAAACCAGGGCAACCAGATCTCATGCTACTGTGACCAAATATAATGATGTAGGGATATTGCCCATGTATCGTTTAGATGGATGCAGGACTTAATATGACTGCCTGGAAGATTGTGGCGCACGATTCCACCTTACAGGTTCCACAGGAGCTACCGTTTGGGAGTTTCCGGTTTGTCGGCTCCTGGGAAATTAATTAATCCATGACCAAGTCGCATGGGGAAGTGGCCTGGACAGCCGGCCGTGAAGGGGCTCATGGTTCCGACTGGGAAAGTGCAGCGTTATTTACAGAGGCCAGGCAAATTCCCCCACGCCTTAGCTGCCCCCCTTGAAAGCCCCACCACAAAAGAGATCCCTGGCGATAGAAAGGAAACTCAAGACTCTCAGCTGAAGAAGAATGTCAGAATGAGGTCACTTTTCCTGTTAACTCACGCCATGCCAGATGCTCAGAGGGGGATGTCAGTAGACGTCCAGCTTACGGACATTCAGTCTCGGGATAACAAACACCAAAGCGGGCCTTGAAGATAATGAAAGGCGAAAAATGCTTCCACTACACCTAAATGTATATTGAAGACGTTGGTGAATCCTACAGTGAAAATGCTGCAAGAAAAGTTCTTACCCAAGAATAAAAACAAGAGTCTGGACCACTTTTATAAACAGGAAGAGAGCAGCGCAACATTCCGTGCTGTCAGGTTATTTTTCTGAGTTTTGAATAGTACTCTGTGACTGTGACTTTTTATACTCAACTGGTTGGTTGAAAACAAAATCTTCGTCTGGATTTTGTACTCTCTGGACCTGAAATCTCCACCTCTGTTTACTTGATGATTGTGAAAAAAAGGTTATTCATATGGTCAAGTTGTGTGTCCTGTGATTTTTCACAAAATGGTTCAGGACTTGAAACACCATTGTGTTAATTAATTTTTTGTGTTGTGAGCCAACAGACGATCTCATCACTATGGAAGCCCGTTTCCGCCAGGTGGTAAAAAAAATATAAGCCACGGAATCTCGCAATTGCGACTTAGTAAGTCAGAATTCCGACTTTATATCTCGCAATTGCGACTTAGTAAGTCAGAATTCTGACTTTATATCTCGCTATTGCGACTTAGTAAGTCAGAATTCCGACTTTATATCTCGCAATTGCGACTTAGTAAGTCAGAATTCTGACTTTATATCTCGCTATTGCGACTTAGTAAGTCAGAATTCCGACTTTATATCTCGCAATTGCGACTTAGTAAGTCAGAATTCTGACTTTATATCTCGCTATTGCGACTTTATATGTCAGAATTCCGACTTTATATCTCGCAATTGCGACTTAGTAAGTCA